CATATTTTATTCATCATATTCCCTAAGCTACGTACGATAAGTTAAATAAATTAGTCTAGTAAGAATTAATAAGGATTATTCAAGTTTAATTTACTGCTAAAATAAGATTTAATAAACAAATTCAGATAAGATGATAAAATTCACCTTTATAAACACCAATTTGGATCCTAGGCGAGACTTGCAAATTTGAAGAAATTCCGGTAATTTACCAGAAAAAAAAATGCCAAAAAAAAAAACACAGAAAAAACAAGTAACATGAACAACAGAACAAGCAATGTAAATGACAAATTAGCAATAATAGAGCACCTGAAAAAGAAATGCGGGAGATAAGAGGAAAGGATTAGTGTAGGATAGAGATACTCCTATTTGTTAATTGTAACTTTTGTCCAATTCATTTCCAAAGAGATAAGGCCACTGATCTCACTAAATACCTCCTTATTTGTTCTCTTCCTTCTTTTAGATGATCACCCTCTTTTCCAATTTCCAATTTCCAACTTTTTTTTTTTTTTTTTATTTATTTGAGATCGATCGCTTGAAATAAATATAATAAACTAGACGTACAAATATAAAGGATGAAAATACGCGCGCACACACAAAAACAAAACAAAAAATCATAATATTATATTATATTAATATTAATGAGTCGAGATTGACTCAAAATGTTAATGAGTCGAGTCAAGTCGAGTAGCTCCTTATTCGACTCGAAAGCTTGTAACAAATTCCTTTATATAATACTAGTTTTGTACCCGTGCGATGCCCGGGTTGTTTATTGAATTTTAAGATATATTTTTAATCTATATGTCAAATTTTAAAACATATTATTGATACAAAATTAGTTAGGAATTGATGTGTTGTTGTGACGCTTTAAACTTGTAGACATGTAATGACTAATAATAATAATATTGGTGAAAAACATTTCTTGACCCGTAACCTGAAATAATAACCCTGTTTGAAATGACTTGTGACCCGACCTGATTGACAGGTCTACACACAGTAATAAAATTATATTAGAATGTGAAGTATATTTTTAATTGATTAGAATATATTATAAACCATGGATGTGGTACATTTTGAACTAATTCTTTCGCTCTAAAAAAATATTAGATACAAAAAATAAATTTATATGATAATTTATGAGAGTTATAATCTAATTATTTTTTGATAAAATTATAATTCAATTTGTACATATGAAATATTGGTACTTTATCAAAAATAAAATTCTAAACTAACTTTTTTATCCTACAAATTGAATTCTATATAACTCTATCCTACGTGGCACGACACTTGGCGAAAAGTTGGAACGCCAAGTGTCGCTGCCTCATCGCATAGCTACAAATTTAGGGCTTGTTTGGCATTGTTTTTTGTTTTCAGTTTCAGTTTTTTTTTTTTAAACAAAAAACCAAAAACAGGAAACAAGAAAAAGGTGTTTTCACTTTTCTGTTGTCAGTTTTCACAATTAGCATGATTTTAATAAGTTTGACTAATTTTTTATTCATTATATGACCTATATCATACACTTTTAAAATACAAAAAACCAAAAAACTGAAAACCGCAACAATGCCAAACGAACTCTTAGCTTTATATATTAGTTATATGATTATATTTACTAAAATTTAAAATATTTTGATATAAAAAAATATTTTTTCCATTGATAATTAATAAAGTAGCATTATTTTTGTACTCGTACTGTCGTACAGTCACATCATCATATGTATATTTCTCAAATGACAAAATTAAAGAGGACGAAGAGATGTTACATTAAGTAGAGAATTTTACTAAGACGGATCAAATTGCAAGATAAACCAGATTGACACGGTCGAATTTGGTCAAAGACTCGATCAAAGCTTGGTCGAAACTCAAACTCATATCATAAGCAATTAAGCACCCCTATCAACGAGCATTATTTGTTGTAGAGTTCATTAAACTAAAGAGAACAGCACGAGGCATTAAATCAGGTGTAATTGTTCACAAACTCAAATCATGCTCAACATATTTGTATTTATGCCTCCTGAAAACCTGCACATGACCACTCCTGCCAAAACAATCTGGCAGGGACCTGCATTATCATTATTTAGTTCCTATTAGTTGTGCAATACACTACTCCATTCATCCATTATTACTCCATATTTCATTTATTTTCAGTATCTTAATTAAGGTCTTCCATTAAAGATTATCTTATTTTTATGTGGATTAATAAAAGTATGATATTTCTCCTACATACAATTTATTTGGTTCAACTTCTTTTTGTTTCTTATAAACTTTGCACAACACATTATTAGCTAAAATAGCAACAATAATACGTCAGGTGCGTTTAGCAACACAACATTTAGCTATTGCAATGCACATCAACACTTACAAAGGACCAATGTATAAAAAAGCTCAAGGAGCACTAAAGCGAGAGGGGTTCTGCTACGCTCAGGTGCGCCTAAGGCACGCCTCAGTGCTCCTCTTTGAAGTGAGGCACACTATATGGGTAGTTAAAAAAAATATGGCTAAAGTGCGCCTCAAGCGCCTCAGGTACGCCTTGGGCACTTTTTGTGCGTCTAACCCAAAACGTCTCGTCCAGACCAAAACAAGCGCTCACCCCTGATCGCCTTGCGCTTCAGTGCCTTAGGCGCGGTTTTTCAAACACTGCAAAGGATGGGTGCATTTTGTACAAATTTTAGGATTAAATGAAATATGGCAATCAGAATTCCTATCGGAGTTACTAAATAGTTTGATGGCAAACAATTGAAAACAGAGGGAGTAGTGTAGTATGAGTAGTTGAGTATAATAGTATATCATCAGCATATTATTCATATAAATGCCAATATGCCTACATTATGAATTCACAAAATATAAAAAAAAGTTATCTTAAAATATATGCTCTAAAAACCTCCCAAAGCAATGAAGCTACTGTCTGGTCCCAGGAAGCTCGTGTTGAGTGTTGACCACCTCAATTATAAATTTTTATGGAGTAATTGCTCCCCAGATCAACCACCATCACCACTACTACTCCAAACTTATGATGTACATGTTCCAACTTTTTCTAAATGAGATTTTAGTCATAAAGAAGGTTCACTTTACTTGTTCAATGGATCAAGACCCCTTGACTTGGCCAATTGGCCCCATAGTAAATGAGTTAGCCTCGTTTACACCTTTTGCAATCCAAACAATCTAAGGACTAATGTTTAAACTTTGAAGAAGGCTAAATGGACCCAAAATCGACAATGTACGAGGCTTATGTGGTTCGTTCATAACATTTTTTTTTAAAGATGTTAATAGATACAGAATTACGAAAAGATGACATGTCAATACTTAGTAGAAATGTAACAACATAACACGAAGGTATCGTTTTAGACTTCAAGGGTAGTCATTCTCAATTAATGTAGTTACGTACACCATGATGTGGTTAATGAGATAATTTACTTCCTACTAAAAAAAGAATGCAACTTGTTCAAAGTATGTGAATATTATAATTAAAATCAACCAACCAACTTTAAGAAAAAAGAGGAATAATGAAGGCCAAATGATTGAAACAGCTATACATACAGTGTAGAAGAAATAAGGGAGTATACATCATCTGGGACAAGATATCCAGCCACTGTAAAATGATTGCTTATTCCTGCAGAACAAGGGAACCATTAAAGGTCAGCTTTCAGTTGGCAGGTGTTGAGTTATGCCCATACTATACTTCTTTATCATAGGCAAATATCTATTAGGTCCACCACCAAGTTGTGAAGGGCAAGTGTAACTTTTGTAACCTGCATCACATACCAAGCCACTAACGAGACTTATGGAGATTCAGATGTACGCAACTTTACCCCTAATTAGTATTTCCCCGGGAAAGCATACACGTAATTTGATGAAACTATAAATCTAGTCCACCTTAAATGGACTCATCAAATGCACAATGTTAACGAGTGAATTATCGACAAAATTTGCATTTTCCATGACATTTTGATTAAAACGCCTATCAGATTACAACCCTTCAAAGTTCAAACAGCTGCTATAACATCCAACTCCTAATTGGAGTTTGATCAAATAATGATTCTCCTTGTTAAGATAAATTACGAAGTTATTTTAGTAATCTTTTAATTAAGGGTCGTCATCCAAATTTTAAACGACGAGAAGGAGATATTTTAAAGACCAATAATATCATCGAAAGGCTTGAAACAATATTCATTTCACAAAAGAAAGCAAGAAAAGAGAGTAAATCATTCATTCTTGATAATAATCATAAGCTACTTGTCCCACATGTAGAGAATGATAAGGAGACCAAATTTGGGTTTACACAAGACATCAACTCATATACAAAGCCCATGCCCAATACCTGTCCTTTGCACAACAGACACAGATCTAGTTCCTGCCTAGGCTTTTAGGTTTTTCAATTCATCTCCCTTGGTAATAAAAAAAATATCCAGTGGAATTTTATACATAAAAGGTCCCCTTTTATTTCTAAATCTGGACCATCTATTAAGTTAGATTATTTAAATGAAATATCATCAATACGTGCATATCTTGAGATTAACCTATCATTACGCCATGATACATTGATGTAAGATAACGCGATTTTTTTTTATCATAATGAATAATAACAAGTCTTATGAGGAAGAAGCTCAGCAGGGTAGGCCAGCAAACTATAAAATTATTTAAGTAATATGATGGTTTCATTTCATCCTGTACCTAGATTATCTTACAGTTGATAGAGCCATAAAGAACTAATTTTATTAAAGCAAAGTAGAAGATTGATACCATACATGTCAAGTAACTGGGTCTGTTGTGATGGCAACTCCTTGTTTTCCCAATCATGCAAGGGATACACGAGTTCATGAGGCAGACAACGGTTTGGTTTCACTTAGCTTGATATATGTACTTCGTGATGGAGCTTACGATCAAGCAGCTATGAAAACTGTAAAACTAGAGGATAACACATGCATAAACAAGTCAAAACACAGATGAAAGAGTAAAGGGGTAGAAAGAAATTTACTCAGTGATGTTTTGCTTGAATCTGTGTTTGATTAATTTGATATTCTGATTCACCAATAATCTTTACAGGAACAACAGCCACCAGAAAAATGATGAAACCTATTGACATCTCTAACTATGATCTCTCTATTGAAGATTTCGGAAGCATACTTCATAACTGTATGACAATCTCCGCAAGTCCTCAGATTCTTTTTTATCCTAATCGGAGCACCAACAGGAAGGGCTAGTAGCCCAAATGCAAGTGCTATTTTCTCACTGTGAAGCCACAAACTCTGCTCTTTGTTCTGCTCTGTGTCATTTGTAGCGAATTGGGTCTCAGATACATAGCCTCTTTTCTTCAATAGTTCCTTAAACTTTCTTAGTAGAGCATAGATTTCGTGTGTTCTTGAATGTGACTTGTCATTTGCAGTAAATACAAAGGTGGTGTTGTTCACATCAATCCAGCTGCATCCATGCTCCTTTCTCAGCCCTATAACTCCCATTTGTCTCCTAATTTCATCGGCTTCTTCTGATTTTCCATTACGCGTGTAAATGTTGGCAAGGATCACATAATTTCCTGGGTTACTAGGTTCAATCTGGAAAAGTTTTTCAGCTGCTTCTTTGCCTATTTCAAGATTCCCACGATTCCTGCAGGCCCCAAGCAATGCTCCCCATACAGATGGACCTGGATCCATAGGCATTGATTCTATAAACCTCTTAGCTTCTTCCAAACGACCTGCACGGCCAAGCAAGTCAACCATGCAAGCGTAGTGTTCATGACCAAGTTTCATCCTGTGGACTGATTCCACTGAATTGAAGTAATCAAATCCCTCCATTACTTTACCAGTATGAGCACATGCAGAAAGAACACATACAAAAGTTCTATAATCAGGCCTTATTCCCTGCTGCAACATGTTTTCGAACAATTCAATTGCTTGGTTTGAGCATCCATGCTGCTGGAAAGCTGAAATTATAGCTGTCCAACATACAACATTTGGGTCATTTACTGCTCGAAACACCCTGTGAGCATCCACCAAGCTCCCACATTTGGCATACATTGAGATCAATGTGTTAGCTAGAGACATGTTTTCCTCAAACCCACTTTTCATGATCAAATTATGTATCATTGTCCCCTGATTCAGAGCTGCAAGACCGGCACAAGCATTGACAGCAGTAGAGTATGATGCCTCATCAGGCAATATGGTTTGGCTCCTCATGATCACAAAATACTTTAAAGCTTCTTCAAAGTTATTATTTTGGAGGAACCCTGTGATTATCACATTCCATGTAACCACATCCTTTTCAGCAAAACTCGTAAATAATATAACAGCACCTTCAGATGATCCACACTTGCAATACATATCCATAAGAGAATTCTGAACATAAGACGAAGCTATTAATCCGCGCTTAAACACAACACTATGGACTTCCTTTCCAATGTCTAAACCACCATTCATGTTAGCACAAGCAGTCAAGGCACTCGAAGCAGTAACTTCATCCGGAACTATTGATTTCTCACAAAGAACCCCCTTGAAACCTAAAAGTGCTTCATCATATTTCTCATTATCTAAAAACCCAACAATCATAGAGTTCCAAGAAACTCGGTTTCTTTCAGGCATTTCGTCGAACATCTTCTGTGCACTCAACATATCACCACATTTTGCATACATATTCACCAATCCAGTCCCAACAAAAACATGATTATCAAAACCATGTTTACTAATCAACCCATGCATTTGAACCCCAGAAAAAAGGTCCTTTAAATTAGCACAAGCAGGTAAAATTGCAGAAAAAGTAAACTGATTAGGGTAAACCCCAGAAACCCTCATTTGATTAAACAATGTTATAGCTTTAATGGGTAAATTATTATGAGATAAATGAGTAATTAAGGAAGTCCAAGTGATTACATTTTTATAGCAATCTTCAATATTAGAAAACAAGATTAAACTTTGAATAAAATGCCCAGATTTAGCATATAAATTTAGGAGATTACAAAGGAGGAAAGGGAGGGTAGTATAATGGTTGATTATGATCTGGGTATGAATTTGAGTAGCTTGTTTGAAGCATTTCTTGTTCTGGGTTGCTGTATTTAGTAGAGAATTGAGATGGGTTGGAGTTATTTTCCATTGATTTTGATGATATGATCTGGGTTGCAAGGTGTTGAAAATTGTAGGAGAAAGAATTTTGATGTAATTGTGTTTAAACAAGAAGCAAAATTTCATAATACTACAAAGTGTAAAGTATGAATAAATGTCAAATATTCAAAATAAAGCAAATTTATAGATTTTGAATGGTTCTTAATTGAAAGTTACAAGATTTAATTGACAATTTAACATTGTTATTTTGATATGGGGCTTGAAATTAGAGTGTGTAAGAAAGTGAACTAATGGTGTATTGTGAAGGGCCCTGAGCCTGACTACTGTTCTTGGCAAACTGGGCTTTAGGTTATGAACCCACAAAATGGTGAGTTTGAGAGTGTTTATTTCTAGAGTTGGTAATTCGGGTCAACATATCGTGTTCATTTTAATTAAAGCAAATTTGAAAAGCTTGCTACTTGTATAAAAGTTATAGAGCATAATATTACCAAATGAATATGAAGAACAAAATATACTTTCTTAGGTCATGTTATCTTTAGCTTATTTTCAGTTCAGCTCCTAATTTTCTTCTCTCATAAACAATTTAGTTCAGTTTAACTTAGCTCAGCTTAGAATAATCACATAATTATAGTGGTATGATTATAGTGTTATGAGTTTGGATTGTTTTATGCTCGTGTCACGATATTGGTTTTGAGTTTTTTTCAAAATTTTGTGCTAATTTTGATTGCATGTGATGTCATCCTTAACTTTAAATGATAATGTGAAGAAATAGTGTTTGGATAAAACATTAATAAAACAATTGTGTTTTTGTCCACACTAGTTTCTTCCAAGTTAAGAATTGCTAATTAAAATAATATTACTTTCTTAATCACATAGTTAATGATGTGACCTCTTGATATATGAAACCTTCTAATACTCCCTCCATTACATATAACTCGCAATAAACAAATATTTTATATCTCACAAATAATATTCCTTTGTTGCGAGTAATATGTAACGGAGGGAGTAATATGAAATGGCCTCTCAAAGTGTAATATCATCTTGATTCTTGACTAAGATCACCTTAAAATTTTCACTTACCAACTTTTTTTTAAAAGAAGCTTTCATTAGAAATCTGGATAATTTAAGGGATGATTTATATATTATTAACATGTCACTTGATACAAATGTTGTCACTAGATAGACCCATGAAAATAAGACATTCAAATCTTGTTTTATTGTTCTTCTTTTGTTTCACACCACCGAGTCTATCCATTTAGTTTTGGAATAACAGATCTACTTCAATCAATGTCAACCAAATTCAACAAATAGACTAACTTGTCTTTTATTGTTCTATGTCAACTTTTAATTATGTACGTGTTAAACGATGATAACCTCGTTTCATAGATGAGCAAATCTTAAGGCCCATTCCAAATATTGATATTTATCTCAAAGATACACCGTTGTAAAACTAATTAGTAATCAATCATGTCTAAATTGAAAACTAAAAACGATGACTAAAAAATTTATAGGTACCTTTTTTTTCCTATTACAGAAATACAGAGTATGTGATTGATAAATTCATTGGACTAAACTTAGCTCGTATCAATAGTAATAACTATTAACTATAAGTTAACTGAACTATGAACTATTAACTATTAAGTTCTATGTAATTCCATCCTATATGAAATCACAAGCTATTAATTATAAGTTCTATTAACTATTCCGTCAAAAAAAAAAAATAACCCACTTCGTATTAACTATACGTTTTATGTAATTCCATCCTATATGAAAATGCTTATATGAATTGGACAATTAGTCACAAACTCACAACGTACATACACATGAGTTCTCTTCACACATAACAGAGTTGAATGTCACCTATTGATAACATATAGACATATAATAAGAGTCTATTTTCATTGACTAAAATGAGCTGAATTGAACTGAACTGAACTGAAATGAAATGAATATTTTATAAGAGAAGGAAATTAGGAGCTGAACTGAATTGAACTGAACTTATTAGATTTGAAGTGAACTGAAAATAATCGTATGAGAACAGGCCCAAGTAATTTAATCGTGTTTTTAATCATTATCTTTTCCTTAAACTTCTCTTTAATTAACATGGATTACCCTTGCTTTCCTTAAACAAAGGACGATTGTCGATTAGCTAAATAATGTTTGAAAAAGTCAAAAGCAACCCTCAGAAATCGCCATGTTACACTGAGACTTGACACTTGAAAAGGGCTTCTATGCAAAGAATTTGGTTGTACAACATTAAATTTTGGACATTACATCTTTCCCAAAAACAAATATATATGTTGAATGAATAACATGTTATTGTATGAAATTATTTGATATAACTTGGTCGGTTTTGGATAGTATTTGAAAATTGGTTTAGGGAATAGGAGTCTTTACTCCTTTGCGTCAATTGCGTCGAATTTAATAACATCTTTCACGTTGTTTTTATTGCCTTAGCTTAGAACTTAATCCATAATGCATGGTGTATGTATGTCATCAAACCAGCATATGATTATGATCATAATTATTTATATGGCCATATTGTAGGTTTAATATGAATAATTGATATGATAATAATGCATGAACGTATTCAATTAATGTTATAAACCGAACTGCTGTAAACAATAAAAACAGAACAAAGTTACCGGGAATTAGACTGAGTCGCGGACTATGTCGCTCTCTTTAGAACATTCACGGTACTGCCCTTTAATTTGTGCAAGCAGCTCGTACAACAACCGGATGTTCCCCAGGATAAAACCGTCTGTCTAAGCAAGGAAAATACCAGTGGATTTGCACAGAACCAGTGGACAACTAACCACCAAAAAATATAAAGAACACTGCTCGAATATTTTGTAAGAGAAAAAAGGGATTAGAAAAATTCTGTGATTTTTTGTTCTATAAAAACAGTGAACATAACATGATGTTTTATAGGCAAAACAATGGTATAACGGTAGCAAAAACCGTTCCAACACCAGCGTGATTAACGCCAAAAACGGTCAATTTACCCAGTCAAAACAGCCAAAGTTTAATTAATCTGGAAATAAACGTTAGAGAGATAACTCGACTCGACTCGACTCGACCCAGCCCAGCCCGGCTCGGCGCGCGTGTGATAAGTGGGCTTGGTAGGTAAGTCCTCCCTCTCCACAAAATGTGGGTAGCCCAAGGGCCACACCCAAATACTCCACATTCTCCAATATAAGGGAGGACAAACTTCTATTTCCCACCAATGTGGGACTTTTTGTTTTCCACAAAATTTACACCAAAACACACTTGTTCCAACAATTAAGAATGTAAAAGATTGTGTTTCAATTCACTCTAGAAGTGGAAGTGGACCATATGTACAATACATATACTATGTCCAGCTTAATAATATCATGATCTGAATTAAGTCTCATAATACATATACTACGTTCAACTTAATAATATCATAATCTGAATTAATTTAAGTCTGCATTATGAGACTTAATCAAATTGAAACAAAATTACAGGTAGAATTGGGATCGATTACAATACCTTTAGCTTAATTAACTAGAAAACACAAAAAGTGTTACTTCGGGCCTGTTCTGATTTATTAGAACTGAACTGAACTGAACTGATCAGAGCTGCATTGAGTTGAACTGATCAGAGTTGCACTGAACTGAAATGATCTGAATTCAATATTTTATTAGAGAAGGAAATTAGGAAGTGAACTAATTGGAGCTGAACTAAACTGAAATTAAGCTGAATAGAATAGACCCTTCGTATTAGAACTAATTAGTACATATCACTTTAATTTGTATCCAATTAAGTGTTATCCGTTAGAATAATTTGGGTGAATGTCTAGTGGAACCAAATTAAACATACTTTTTGGCTATAAACATAATAGTAATGTACAAGATCTAGATAAAAGTTATAGATTTGAAAGAAAGCAATTATATAAGTATGATATTTGTAGATGATGATGAGTTGGGGAATAAGCATCTCTTTATTATTTACATAATAATGAAGAAAAATAGGAGAATCCACTTGCATTGCAAGATACTCTAATATACAAAAATACATGGGGCAGAGCATCAGCTTGTTGCTTTAATTTGCACCAGTTGCAGCATGTTTATATGAATGAAGCTCACTCGATTGATCTTAGCTTTACAGTTGTGTTTTCGGATTGTATACGTTTAATTATATACAACCTCTAGATTGCTTAATTTCTTCAATTCACTCCACTACGAAAAAACTTTTTGAGTATATTGCATTGATATGCATGGAATGCAACTTACACAACTAGCTAGCATACAAACCAATCAATTAATTTAACTACTTTTGTCTTAAATTAAATCAACTATAAATAATACGGAGTAGAAATAATTGATGGGTGCATGTGATTTTATTATGAATTCCTTAACTAAAACCATTTTTGAAAAATATCTCTATTACTATAGTTGCCTGATGAAATGCATACAATATTACACCCTAAACTAAATGAAGTTATTTTGTAGTTACCCGATCAATATTATAGAGATTACTTTGTCAGTATTATAAGGGGTTAATTGGCCAATACTACAGAAGTTACTCGGTCAGTGTCAGAAGGGTTACTTAGGACCTATTCTCTTCAGCTTAATTTCAATTCAGTTCAATTCAATTCAGTTCCTTATTTCTTTCTCTCATAAACAATTCAGTTCAGCACAGTTCACTTCAATTCAATCAGCTCAGTTCAGTTTAGTTCATCTCAATTCAGTATATCAGAACATGCCCTTAATTCTTTTACGACACAAAATGCCATGATCGACAATTCAACATGATACAAAGCTTATAGTTCATAATCATTCTTTAAAATAACTAAAGAAACTATCACTATTAAGGGCGTGTTCGGTGCTAGCTTTTGAGTAGCTTTTAGGTAACTTTTAGTGGTGGAGGTAGCTTTTATTAATTATTAAAAGGTAGGATTATTAGCTTTTGAAGTTAGAGGTAGCTTTTGAAGTAGCTTTTGAAAATTTAATGTATACTTTTAAAAATAAAATATTGATTTTTAAATATAACAGCTAGTCAACCACTACTTTACCGAACAATCATGCCTAAATTATCTTTTTTTAACAGCTAACAGCTTGTTGACAGCTAACAGCTATCTCCACAGCTCACAGCTATCTCCACACCTACAGCTACCTTCACAGCTATATTTTGCCGAACATGCCCTAAGTCTATACTTTTTGAACGGTTGTTTTGGAGCGGATTTCAAACGGATATATATGTCCATTAATTAATAAAGTTAAAATCACACTTATCATAATCATAACAACGGTTAATCCCACTTTACTTAGCTGCAATAGAACCAGGTGGCCAAATGACAAGTTGACATGTGGTGCACTACACTTTCTATGATTGTTTCCGTCAATATATAGCAGCGGGATTAGAGATAATTAATCAATAATTACTGTCATTATACTTAATTCTCTTACTCATTCTCCTAATCAAATCATTCTAATCAATTAATTAAACAAAAAAAAAATGACAGACGAAGGCACAGCAACATTCATAGATATCATATTAGCCATATTTTTGCCTCCTCTTGGTGTTTTCCTCAAGTATGGGTGTAAGGTATAATTCCTTAATTTTCTTGCATGCTCTTGTGTCTTTGCGAGTGTCCTGTCTTATCTTCGCTTGATTTTTACTGAACTGGACTAGTTAAATGATATCAACTACTCCGTAATTTTTTTTATGAAAGATCAAGTTAATAGTCTTTGTTTATATACTTTTGTTCAAAATTCAAGACCTTTAAGACTAGTACCAAGTATATTATATGTGTGTGCTAAGTTGAATTACCAAATTATTACTTGATTTATATTTTAATTTTAAAAAAAAAATATGATGAAATGGGTTGTTGATTATATTATTAAAATAATTGTTACAGGTAGAGTTTTGGATCTGCGTGTTGCTGACATTATTGGGATACATCCCTGGGATTCTTTTTGCTATTTGGGTCATCACCAAGACCAAATGATCACTCACTCTTTGTATGTAAGTAAGATTCAACCATCCAGTCTTTACCCTTATTATTTCCTTCATAATTTCCTTTCTAAATAAAATCACTTTTATGCATTTACGTATGAAAATATCCGTACTTTGTAATAAATGTTACGAGTACTCTGCAGTAATAATACAGACAAAGTACTAATAATTTTTCATTTAAGGGTTTGTTCTCTTCAGCTTAATTTCAATTTAATTCAGTTCAGCTCCAATTAGTTCAGTTCAGTTTCTTCTCTCATAAACTATTCAATTTAGTTTAGTTCAGTTAAGCTCTAATCATTTCAGTTCAGCTCATTATTGTAAATCAGAACAAGGCCGAAAATACGTTATAATAACAATAAGCAACATGGATAGACCTACTAGGTGTGGCAACGAGTTGGTTAGGATTCTAGTGTCTAGGAGTCTTATACAAATTATATAAAACACTTTCTTATACAGTTATATATCTACTTTGATTTCATTCAATTATACACTCTATATACCAACCAATCCAATATATGAATCCTACCTAATATTAATATCTTAAAGCATTATTGAGTATGTTATCATTGAAATTCGATATTTCGATTCTAGTCTTCTTATTCTACTAATACGGACATCGAACGCACCTAATTACTGTTGGCTACTATGCGTTGGATTGATTTGATAATTACTTGATTAGTTACACTCCACTTTTAAAATTAAAGGAACAACTAAAGTAAAGTATAACACGTTATCTACAAAATATATGTGGGGTAATTATTTGAGAAAAGCATATTAATTAATTAAAAAATTATACGTCTTATCTTCTTCATTCTAATCAAATGTTCTCCCGTTGTAATCATCATGCTAATTTATAATTTGGGCGGTTTTCTAATGTTATTTTCTTCTTACCTTTCATAAAAAAAAAAAAAAAAAAGAATAACCGAATTATTTGAGTGAACTACTCGACTACTCCCTCTATTTCTTATTGTTATTTATATTTAAAATCTTTTTATAACGCCTAACACATAAAAAGAAACAGAGAGATTACGACTATACGTCTATACAAGTAGTAAGTTGTACAAGTTTTAAATTATTTTATTTGATTTTTGAGCAGGTAAGAGGTAAGATGTGGAAAAGGATCTTCGATCTCATTGGTGATAAAGATATGCTGAAAGCATAATTTAGTTTGATTGGTTATTCATTGTCAATATATATATGTACGTATCAATTACGGAGTACATGTTACATCCACCTTGTTTGATTTTCAATTTAGCGTGAAAAGTATGTTTTTGTATTTGTAATGTACTACTTCTTATAAAACCTCACTGTATAACTGTATGTATTACTAGGTATATATTAATAAATAATGTTGCTTATAAATTGTGCCTACTATTAATGTTTAATATAATCATTTTTCATCATCCAAGTCTAACAGACTGACATATCGAACTACCACTTACTCTTTACATTACGCATAAACTTGTATACAACGGGTGTCATCATTTATTTCGTTAAGAAATCAATGTATTTAGCACTAATCGGCTCATCTGGATTGGGGAATAAGCATCAATTATATGAAGCTCAACATATCATATCATAAGAAAAAATATATAAATGTTTTGCATTAATATAATTTGAGTATTCCACTAGGTAGCTTTTGCAAGATACTACAGCTTGTACACGAGCTCAGGCATCTTATTGCACCGGCCCAGTTGTAGCATTTATGCACCTCTTTCCTGTTTTTGTTTTTCAAGTATTATTTCAGGTTATACTACTTTACAAGCTAACTTTACAAGTCCATATCATATTATAATATATTACGTGTATGAGTGTATCTACAATATTACGCATTAATATTGTATATCAATGAATACTCGCGAATTGTGAGTTAAAAGACTTAAAACATGTAGAAAATTAAGATTAGTCATTTCAAAGATGATTAACTTAGAATTTTCAATAGAATGGGAGATGATAGTAGAGAATTAGTTGACAAATCCGTACACAACCCCTGACTTTTTGTTCTTAGCCTGATAATATTTAAATTTCAACAACCATATTAATGTGAATTATATTGTGACTTTGGGGGAAGGAGATTGTCCTAATAATTGTACCAATTTTAGTTAGAGAAGAGAAAAAAGAAGTCAATCCTAGGTATTATTATTGTGCTATGGCCGAAACCTCCAAAATTTCTCAAAAAGCGTGGATAGCCTTTAATTTTGGAATTTTTTTGACTTTTTTTTCACCCGAAAATATAAATTGCCGAAATGTTTATCATGGTCTAATTGGCTGGGGAACCATCCAATTATGCAATTTGCCTTTAAATGACCAATTTACCGGTTTACAACTTGCACCGATTTCATTAACTCAAGCTTACCACGAACATTTATGACAGCATATAATGATCATATATGGATCCAAACGACATTATATGACCCCGAGATGTATCCCCTAAAATTTCAATGCTTTTCGACACCGAGCCTCGAAACATTCGAAATTTCTCAAAAAGCGTGGATATTAGTCTTCAATTTTGGAATTTTTTGACTTTTTTTCGCTCGGATATAAAAATAACCGAAATGTTTACCATGGTCCCAAATACTCTCTGGAAGTCCAATTGGGTGGGTGGAACCATCTAATTTGCCTTTAAACGACCAATTTACCGGTTTACAACTTACACCGATTTCATTAATTCAAGCCTACCACGAACATTTATGACAACAAATAATGATCATATATGGTTCCAAACGACATTATATGACCTCGAGATGTACTCCCTAGAATTTCAAGACTTTTCGACACCGGGCCCTGAAAACTCCAAAAATTCTCAAAAAGCGTGGATATACCCTTCAATTTTTGACTTTTTTCGCCCATAAATAAAAATTGCCGAAATGTTTACCATGGTCTCTAGTACTCTCTGGGAGTCCAATTGGGTGGGTGGAACCATTCAATTTGCCTTTAAACGGCCAATTTACCGGTTTACAACTTGTACCGATCGATTTACAACGACCAATTTAATTAACTTGCACCGAACCCGACTTGAACAGAAATTGATCCAAACTCGTTTTAACCCGTCAAAACCCGAATTTAACCCGACTTGTTACTAACCTGACCTGAATTCAACCCGACTCGTTCCTAACCCGACTAAAATTTAACTCAACCTGTTACAAACCTGACCCAAAATCAACCCGACTTGTTATTGACCTGACCCAAATTCAACCCGACTTGTTATTGACCCGACTCAAATTTTATCATACTTATTACTTACCAACCCAAAAATTCAACCCGACTCGAAATTAACACGACTTGTTATTGACCTGACCTAAATTCAACCCAAATTGTTCTTGACCTGATTTCAAATCACCTTAAATACAATTTAGACCATTTTATTATTGTTGATCAAAGCATTTTGTCTTGGGAGACCAAGTTGGTCCAGGCAGCAATAGAAAGGAGCATCATCCTCAAATTTAAGAGTTAAATATAGTATATGTTTGTTGTATGGTCAAAGGAGATAATTATCTTCCTAAATTATAAACTATAGTTCCCTAATACATTGCCATATATATTATAGTCAAAGGAAATAATTAGCTTGATAAAAATGATAATTATCTATTTATAGTTAGTTGAACCCGAATATGACTTGACTTGGAAATGACCCGACCTGATTGTAACATGCAAATTATTGACTTGAACATAACTCGACTTGAATCCGAGAATGACCCGACTTGAAAATGACCCAACCTGATTATAACCCGCAAATTATTGACTTGAACCGAACCCGACTTGAACCCGAGAATGATCCGACTTGAAAATGACCCGACCTGATTATAATCCGCAAATTATTGACTTGAACCAAACCCGACTCAAACCCGAGAATGACCCGACATGGTTCTAACCCGCAAATTATTGACTTGAACCGAACCCGACTTGAACCCGAGAATTACCCTATCCGTTTTAACCCGTGAAAAACCCGAATTAAACCCGACCTATTGTTCACCCGACCCAAATGTAACCCGACCTATTATTAACTTGACCTAAACTTGACCGAAACCCGATAAGAAGTATGACCTAACGTGACCCGACTCAAGCATAACCCAACCCAAACCCGACCCGTATAGGTTATGAAATTAATCTGAATTGACCCAACCCGAATTGACCCGACCCACTTTGTTTCAACCCAAATCCGACTTGTTTACCCAAATTGACAGCTCTAATGCTATCCATTAACTAGAAAACTCACTCCATCATATTTTCATATCACAGGCTAACATGTCTATATTCACTTGGCCGACTTTAGAGTTACATTTATCTTTTCAAATTACATGTTGTGTTGCTTTTGCACATGTTAATAATGGTCACACATTGGAAAAGAAAGACCTACTTGTATTAAACACCTGATATGTAGTTTAAAATATTCTTTCTCTAGGGGCTTGCTCTCATTGACTGAACTCAGCTGAGCTGAACTGAACTGAGCTGAGCTGAGCTGAACTGAACTTAATTGAGCTGAACCGAACTGAACTGAACTGAACTGAACTTAATTGAGCTGAACCAAACTGAACTGAACTGAAATGAATATTTTATAAGAGAAGGAAATTAGGAGCTGAACTGCACAGAGCTGAGCTGAGCTGAACAGAACAGCACTAAACTGAATTTCAACGTAAGAGAACCGGCCCTAACTTTGGGATACAACTTCCCTATCATAAAAAATCTAAGTTGATTTTCAATAGTATTATCTAAACAATTGACCAATTATAATCAGATATTATGACTGATTTAGTTCACTTTAATTTTGACATCTAATCTGATCTCTTTTTTTATTATGACTTTTTTTTTTGTTTTTTTTATAATCACGTATTTTAATATGTTTAGGATTATAACGATAAAGTATATAAGAATTTTTGCTTAAAAAATATATAAGAATTTATTTTTCCAACACTTTCATCAATTCCATATTACAAGTAATCAAATTTACTAAATACAAAAAACTCAATCTCATAAAAATACATATAAATTGAACAAATATAAATCTTATACCCAGTAGTTATATATTTTTTTCAAACCAAAGTGAAATAAAATTGATCAACAACAATGAAAAGAATTAGAGTTTTTTGACCCAAAAAAAAAAAAATTAGTGTTCAATTATAGTTTCATTTAACAAGTAATTTTTTTTTTAATGATGTCTTATGTTATTTTTTTTTAATTTGCAAATATCTAGGATCTACCAACCAATTGGCCGACATAGTTTATTATTATTTTTTTTTTTTTAAAAAAACTCAAAATTTTGAAAAGGAATAACGGTTTAAAGTCCCTTTACTTAACCGTGTTAAACCTAGTTGGACAAATGAGCTGTAGACACGTGGTGCATGACAGTTTTTTCTCTATATATACCTACGATTCTAGAGATATTAAGATACTTGTATCAAATATCTTTTCTCATAATTATTCTTTTATTAAGTCTCTTTTTTAAAACTCTCTCGATCTCAAAATCCAAAAATGAGTACAGCAACTTTCATTGATGTCATTCTTGCCATCATTCTCCCTCCTCTTGGTGTTTTCTTGAAGTTTGGCTGCCAGGTATATATATATTTTTCGCATCGAGTTTAATTTGTTACGCTTTATTCTCTTCACCTTATTATTTCGTAAATTGTTTTAAACTGATTAGGTGTATAATTACTGAATTTTTGTTTATAACCAAAAATTTGAGGAATTAATTGTCTTTGATATAAGGTTGCAAATTTCTTCCTTAATAATTCTTATGTGATTAGTATTAAGATACTTTCAAAAAATTTATGTGTGTATTGATTGTAATTTTTTAATCTTGTTTTGGTTGTTTAGAATGATAAAGAAAAAAAAAAACTTGATAAAGGAGGTTATTACTATAAGAAATGGGATTTCAACTTATTTTAGAAGATATCATTTTATTTTATTTTATTTTATTTATTGGAAAGGAAGAATTCAAAGAAGTAAGTGTCATAGTGATCTATGAAGTAATTAGGTTTTTTTTTTTTAATAATATGACGCGTGTCTTTAAAACTATACGAAATACTAGGTTTAACGTTTTGTGGTGTTGAACAAGTCATAAATTTTTAAAAGCCCTTCTATTTCAATACAAAAGATAAAATTATGTGATTGATAAATTATTAATCAAATGAGTTTTAAAAGGGCATGAAATCAAAAACCAATATATGGAATAAAAGAAAAGAATACGTGGCACTCTTTCAAAATTTCTTGTTATTAAATATGAGTACCACGTAGTGTAGATTTGATTCATTGTTCAAAAGAAAATTAAATACGGATTAAATGTTTGTTTGATTAATTGTTAGAAAATAAAATGATTTTGTGAAAATATTTGGCTAAGCCAAACTAATATTATATTTATTTGATTGATTGATATGAACAGGTTGAGTTTTGGATCTGTTTGGTGCTGACATTATTGGGGTATCTCCCTGGAATTCTCTATGCACTCTATGTCATCCTTAGATGATCTCTTCAATCCTTGTACGTATTTCTTTTCCTCTTCTACCCAATTATGCTTTTATTCTTCGCCTTCCCCCCCCCCCCAAAAAAAATAAAAAATAAACAAAAAATAAAAAATCTTGTAGTAGTAGAGTAGTAAAAAATACATACTTTTCTCCGTTATAATAATATTGGAACAATTGAACTTCTACGCTATTTATCACTTTTTTTTATTTTTTTATTTTTTATATATATATTTATCATACATGGAGTAATATGATTTATACGTTAAGTAAAATGTGACTTGGATCCATCTCATAGAATACTTTCATAATATCAAAACATATCCTTTCAATATTATTAGAATGAAAGAAAGTATATAATTCAAGTATACAATTTGTAGTACTCTGTACATCATATACAATTTGACACGCATCTTAATGACTTCCTCAATCCCCATTAAAGGCATTAATGGTTAGTTCATCAACGGTACCAAAGAATCACTAAGTTTGCTTACATGTGTATGTTACATTCTTACCAATCCAATTAAAAAAAAAAATCCAAAAACATTTTTCATTAACATTAAAAAAAAAAAAAAAAAAAAAAAAACCATTATAATCATAATACATGATTTCTGCGTATACCGACATAAGCACCTGATAATAAGTATTGCCCACTAGTGACTAGTGTGTCGTGTGAGGGATATATTTGATGATTAAATCATTTAGTTGGACCACTTTTTTAAATAGGAAAAAACAAAATAATACAAAAGTAATAATAAAAACAAATTTGTAACACGCTACATACAAGATAAGTAGGGTTATGAGTCTTATGAGCTATGAGTCTTATGACTTTGAAAGAAAACCGAGTGGGGGTATAAGTGTATAACAAGGACAACCACAAAAGAAAATAGGCGTTACTTAAGCACTTTAAATAACTATAAGTATCTTACGCGTGCATTGGTGCAACCATCTTACAACCCCAAAGTAATAGAAAATCTTTTTCAAATACGATATAACTTTTGTTACGTTTTTCTTATTAATTAATTTAATAATACTTCGAGTTGAACATACATTGACTAGAGGACTATTGTTTTTGAGCAGAAATGGTGTGAAGGATGCTCGTTGTCGATGATGAAGAGTATGCAGGAGAAGTTTCTTGTTTAGTTTGATTGGTTATTCATTGGATCGGCCTTGTTTTTATTATTTCCAGTAGTACTTTTTTTTTTTTTTTTTTTTTTTATAATGTATGAAATTGTTCAATGTTGATTTGCTACATGGATTTCTTGATGTAATTAAAGCGAAAATTGCTGATTATGAAGTGGTACTTTTATGTAACTAGTTATGTTTATCTAGTCTTGATTTTCTAATTTTTGGGCACAAAAATTGGCCAATTGAAAGTTTGAAATCATCGACTTTAGCTTAAAATCCCCATAATTTTAAACGAAGTAACCTCACTAAAATCAGTACAAAGTTACAGTTAGTACAAAGTTTGAATCAGTCCTCTATAACTGTAAATCAGGTCACCTTCCCAGATCATAGCAATTGGTCATGTTCTTGCTCATTTTGAAATCGATCTAAGGTATCATCCTCAAGCCTAAACAATTAAACATATTATCATCCACGAGATCACGACGAGTCTAGGATTATTTAGTATCTCAGCCATCTGCTAAGAGTACAGGTAAGTAGTATCTCAGGATCATACAACAAGAAGAACCTCCCTTACATCAAGTCACAAAAATATCAAAAAAATATTGCTTGTCACGTCATATTCTTCCCTGTACAGAGAAGACATAAAGAGAGGGAAAAACCAAAATAATATATACAAACATAGAGAAAAGGACCCATAGTAGTATACTTGTTCACAGCATTTACAGGTACAATTCCTCATCTACATGGATTGAAAGAGACGGCGCTCCAATTTTTGACACTTAGTTCCGATTACAGCTCAAATTGGGTAAGGTTTGTTGGCTAATTGATTTTGATATTGATTTTCCATCACTCCATTATGCCACTTGGCTCCTCGTGAATCATTAAACTATAAGAAATTTAATCATGATCAACAAAAAAAATGTGCAAACTAATATGATGACCTGTAAATTCAATCATCTACCAAGTTCAATCACGTCATTACACCAAGTTACAGAGAAGTTTTGGAATAGGCAACTAAAGCAAAGATTGTGAGTTGTTCCACGAAATAAGATATTGTAATACAAACCGCTTGCGTCACATGAACAAGATTGAGTATTAAAGCTGAAACAGATATCACCACGTAAGAAAGGTTAAGAATTGTACCATGGTCATGGCAATAATATGCCATTTTTCACCGGACAGTGACAATTGAGAGAGAATGGGTGAAGAAAAGATATCAGTCCTTGAAATGCCATTCCCGACGACACATAGGACAATGAGCTTGAGAAGTTTGTGAATTCACCCACTTCAAGATGCAGTGTAGATGAAAAGCATGGTTGCACTGCCCCCAAACTGCATAATTGTAAAATTTCAAGATAAGGACGCCACTCAAGTCAAACAGCCCACACATAGAGAAATTAGGCCTACAGAAAACCCATGCACACATGTAAAATGTTAGACAGCTCAGACCACAAACACAATTGGGCTTACAGAAACCCTACCCGTTTTTATTCACAAAAACAAACAGAGAACGCTTTACAAAGTTAAACGCAAAAACAGTTAGTGATAGGTTCAAGTTCTCAACTGGAACTTCAAAGCGTCTACACTCTAGAGCTCTGGGCATCGAAGTTTGGTTTTCTTCAACTTAGCCGTCTGACATGGATAAATTCCTCTTCTGGTGAACACCTAACACTGGTCACAACTTATCCCAACTGTCATCCTCAATGGAGATTGCTAGTAATTACAGTTCCTAACAGGATCCTAGTACTTACAGTTCTCCCTCCATAATGGAGATGGCTTGTTCTAGTTCAGAAAGTGATATCGAGAGGAGAGGTTGATAAAGGAAAAAACACTAGATCAGGCGCACTGAGGTCTTCATGTCTATATAGTATATACACATAATGCACTCAATCAGCATATCTATTTGCACTTTTAGGTCTCTAACTATTCAGCAGGACAATTAGAAAATAATGATGTATCAAAAGAAAATGTTTACGCAAAAATAAAACGAAAGTCACATACTTAATGGGCAGTCATCACCAGGTAGTTTGCAATCTGGACAACAACCATCAAAGGCCATTCTACATATTCCGCATGTTTCATCCTGGGCATCCCAGGTCCATGAAGCTACAGCATGCCATTGTAGAATGTTAACTTTCATCCTCTTTACTCTGGGAAGAAGCAAAAACTCAGAACAGTTAGCATAGTGTGCAAACTGTGCAACTAACATAGTCAAGAAGACTATAAGCATAAATTTTAATTGAATAAAATAAATCAAGAGATTTTCCAACCACCCATCAAGTTGATGGTCAGTTTCGCAATAGAAATAAATAAAAGGCAGACACTAACCATATATGTTTCAATTGCCAAATACACACAAGTAATTTGAGAGCATCGTAAAGAAAAAATATTCTTTCTTTTTATTGTTGTTCAATATTTAGGGGGTATTTAGTCGTATAGCTTGGAATGGAGTTTGTCCCATTTCAGTGTTTGGTTGAGCTTTTTTACCCTAGAATCTGAAACCCGGCAGATAGAAATGCCCACAATTCCTTCTTTCCTACTATAATCAATGACAATGGAAGAAACAGTCTTCTGGGTATGTCTAAAAATAAAGGTCCTAACATTTTTTCTTTCTCATAATAAACCATTTCCGTACAAACTCTTGTAAATGATATAAAGCACTACAATGACAGCATCAAAAGTACCAAGTCCAACTAAATCGTAATAATACATCTAATGAACTTAATGCTACAACAAGTCATAGAGTCAATGAGTGATAAATAAGTTAAGTACTCACTAGTACAGCGAACTATATTGGTAACAAAAATAAATGTGAAATGTCAGCAACTTATAGTCAAAGAACAAAGTCATGATTTGCTAAGCTTCAAGTAATATTTTCCCTCCATTAGATTTTACAACACCAATCAATCATTGCCACCCACACCTGCATCAAATGAAGCATTTGAAAATCAAGATGATGGGCACACATAAGTGGCATAACTACAATGCAACTATACACTATACCCAGCACCCCCACAGCTTCACACACGCACACTAGCACCTGACCTACCTGGCTGCAAACACATGCTGCACGCCTGCACACCTGTAGAATCAACGGCAGCACTTGCAACCACAAGCAGCCTGCGATATGCTACCAAGGCAAGGCCTCACACACACATAAACACTAAAACACACTTGCATCCCCTGTATCTGCCTAGTAGCTGCATAGTGCCGAGCTGCCTACCCATGCAACCTGCTCGACACTGCCGCAGCCCCACAAGGGCCACAACCAAAAGCCTCCCACCAACCAACTAGAAGCCCCCCATTATCCCTACACTGCAAACCACGATCTTTAGCAGAACTCGACAGCCACCCATAAGGCCATGACCTTGCCTCTTAGGGCTATAAACTCAATAAAAATATTACGGAGTAAAATAGTTCATAGAAAAAAAAAAGAAAAAAAAAAAAAAAAGGTCAATACCAAAAGGCGTTTACATATTTCTTATTACTAATCCATCTTTATACTTTATGAGCTTGAATGAAGTAACCATGTTCAACCAAGATATTCATGATGGCATTATACGACATGACTAACGGTTCACATTCATAAAAATCCATCTTCTCAAACCCCTATTAAAGTTTCCCTTTCTTTAAATAATTCTTCATGCCAATGTTCACTCTTTGTACCTTTGTACAATCCTATAATCAATATCCATCATATCCGAAAGCAAAGTCGGCATAGCTTGGAATTTCCCATGTGAACTAAGCTTATCTATCATGCATACATTTGTCAGCAAACTATGCCTAAACCCCTCCTCTATTTTGACTGATTTAAATGTTTCGAGCGCCTTCAAAGGATCTTTCTGATATTTTGTATTAGCTTCTACATGTTTTGCTAGTAAAGGTCTACTAATTACAAAGAACTACAAAACTAACATACCCCTCCAATCTCCTAAACTTTCAAGATATACTCTTTTCACCATTTAAAACCAATACCATGAAACTGGGCAAAACATGACTACTGTCATTTCATTGAACAAATGGTGGGCATAAGTCCATATAGGAAAAGTCAAGGCATTATCGGCAATAGAAAATTTAATATGCAATAGCCAGAACTTATTTCTTCTTGATTAAACATTTAATTGAAACTGAACTGATTTTCTTCGGATAAAGAGTTATAAAATGATCAGGAGACAATTATCTATTAATCTAACAGCTAATTCAACTACTCACTTGATAAAACTAAACTAATTCAACCAGATATTAACTATATAATTTATTAGTCTAACAAACTAGATAATAAAAATTAAAAATTGAAGAAATTAAAAAATGAATGAAACATTGAATACTTGAAAAGTAAAAAAAAAAATTCAATGTTTCAAGTGCAAATCCAGTAGTTCTCTCTAATAAATTAATCATACAAGCATGTACCTCAGTGTACCCCCTTTGGTCCGCCATTGCGAATTCAAATGTAGTAGTTTTCTCTAACCAATTAATCATCCAAGCATATACTAAATGAAATAGGCTAGTTCATTTTTACCTTCAAATTAATTTCCAGCAATATCACAATAATAATATAGTACAGAAAAAATCCTAAATTGGTATTGGAAAACCCACAATAAGAAATTAGAAGGAGAATACATACCGTGATACACTAATTCGCCACGAACACCACCTTTTCTAGTCTTTCTACACAAAATTGAATGATATTATTAGAACATTTCAGCATATAATTGAACAATATAACGCAATTCTACAACTAACCTAGGAATAAACGAAAGTGGAAATGTGTTTGGAAATTGAGAATTCGACAAAGCATATGGTAATTTAGACTACTGTGATATTGTTAGTAAACAATTGAGCAAATTAGAAACCCTAACATAAAAACAACCATCACAAATAGGCGAAAATGATCGAAAAGAGGAAACTGAGCAAGGAACAAATTTGGATAACTTGGTGCATTTCAGCCATTAATAACATGGAGATAAAGTGCTGAATTCAAGCGATTGATAATTCATTTCGCAAAATTTCTACATAAAATTGAAATAGTTAAGAAGAAAGCTAACCTTGAAATTTAACGGAAAACCCTAAATGTATTGCAATTCTTCAAGATATTGAGTACCCAATTGAGTGTTGATTATCAAACTACAAACCCAATAATTTTTTCAACAAGTGGAAAAGTCCCAAAAATGAAGCTCAAATTAAGAACATCAATTTAACAACCAAGAATTTGGGAATATCTATCGAGGAGAGAGAGAATGTTGGAGGGAATGACAATTTTGAAAAGGCTGGCGTGAGTCAGTGACCATAGAGATTAGAGAGTCATGTACTCATGCCCTCACGGTGGTTACTCTATTTGTCCCTAATTGTTACATACGAAGTACTACCTCCAGTTTATTTTACTTGTAACAATTTTCATTTTAGGGTGGTTCAAATTACTTACAACAAAAAAAAAAAAAATTCCTCATTTGGTAATTTTTGGCCAATAAAATAACATTTATGCCCTTACTTTTTTTCTTAAACACCCTTATTAAATTACAAATGTGATTTCATTAAATTAAACCCCAACCTTAATTATTAAACTCTCATCCCATTTAATATTCTCTCTCCTCCTCCAACCCCATTTTCATGGTGGTTTCACGGTGTTACGAGCGGCGGGGGGTTGCAGTGGGTCGGGTTTCGCGGTTTTAGATCGGCGGTTTCGCGGGTTAGTTTCGTGGGTTTGCTGGGTTGGTGAATCGTTCTGGGTTCGTGGGTCGGGTTTCAGATCGGCGGATTTTGTGGGTTGGTTTCGTGGGTTTGGTTTCGTGGGTATGGTTTCATTGTTTGGTGGGTTAGTGGAACGACAATGCTGGGTACGTGGGGTGGTGGTGGTGGGTCGGCGAGTCGCTGGGTTCGTGGGGTGGTTGGGTTTATGGGTTGCAGGGGTTCGTAGGTTGCTGGGTACTGCCTGGGTTCGTGGGGTGGTGGTGGTGCGTTGGCGGGTTGCTGGGTGTGTGAGGTGGTGGGGTGCGTTCGACGGTTTGCTGGGTGTGTGAGGTGGTGGTGGTGCGTCGGGGTTTGCTGGGTGATGCTTGGTGCTTGGTGGTGTTGGTGGTGGTGGGCTATTCAATTTAATTAAGTTTTTTTTTTTTTGGGTTAGATTAACAGTTAATCACATACCCTTATTTTTCCATAATCATGCTTTCAATCTTTTCCCTTGGTTTGCGTAAAGTTGTCCTTTGTTGCGACTAAAATAAACCGGAGGTAGTATATTATTTTGGGTATTTAAATATGTATCACTAAATTAATCCTGTGTGATGTACGGCTTAATAATAAGAATTGAATTATAGATTTTTAACACATATTGAAAGAAACAGGCTAATTGAACATATTAGTATAAAAGTTAACACCGTTATGACAGATTGGTATAAAAGTTATTGCCGGCGACATATTGGTATAAAAATTAACATGTGGCGACATATTGGTATATAAGTCAACAAATTGCGACATTTACCCCTATTTTCTCGTCGGAGGATATGCGTATGATACACACGCTTAATTTTAGTGCTAATAACTTTTATTTGACATTTTGTTTTTTGTATTTTTCTCTACTTTTTATATTAATTTTAAAAAATTATGAAGTAAAAATCCATAAAAAAAAATAAAAATAAATAAAAAAAGTTGAAAGCCCAAAAGTGATGAGAAAGAAGCTAGGGGGAAACGAATAGGAAAGCTTGAGCAAAGGGATATAAGCTTGAATGTATTGAGGGCATTGGTCATTGAAGCATCACAATGGTAGATTCTTCTTTTTAAAAAAAAAAACACTCATATATATATATATATATATATATATATATATATATATATTCTTATTAAAACAAAATTTTGAAGTATACAACACGCTCTTTCATCCGAAGAAAAAATAGGGGTAAATGTCACAATTTGTTAATTTATATACCAATATGTCGCCACATGTTAATTTTTATATCAATATGTCGTCGGCAATAACTTATATATCAATATGTCATAAGGGTGTTAACTTATATACCAATATGGACAATTGGCCCAACAAAATAAGTACTTCCTCTGTTTTCCTAATTAATTTTTGATTAATTATGAATATCAATTTCTAAAAGTGCATAATTTTCATATTTAATTAAGAAATTTCAATTAAATTATACTATTAACAAATCATAAATAACATAATATCTGTAGAAAACTCAAAATTTAAAAATTCAAATGGATTTTAATTTTCAAAGCAATGTTAAATATGGTAGCTTGCAAAGGAAAATTATGATATCATCCATGCATTTTGGAGTGAAAAAATAAATTAAGAAAGTGATGTGTAAGCAATGATGACATCAACGGTTGTTATTTTAGTATATATTCTAATTATTTTCATAAATAGTTTGTTGTCAATTACACCCTTTAAAATGTATATTTAAACATATACCATTATTTTTAGGGAAATTCCCATTGGTACACCCGTAGTTTTGACTTTTCCCATTGATACACTCTAAAATTTTTGCCTTTCCATCGGTACACCTATGGTTTAGCCTTTTTTCCAACCGTGACTAACACCGTTTAAAAAGTATTTCATTAAGTTAAAATAATTAAGGAAAAGACTATAATACCCCTTTTAAACATCTATTGTCTCGATTTGTGTGTCGAAAATTGTTCAGTTAAAGTTTTGGGAGTCCTAGTCGTTAAGGATTAAAATTAACCTCGAAATTTGCAAAAAAATAACACAAATGTCTCATATGCGTGTCAAAAAGACTCGATTTGCGTGTCATTACTTTTTTTGTGATAATAATTGTTCGGTTAAGGTTTTAGGAGTCATTTTAACCCTTAAGACCAGAACTTGAAATTGTCAAAAAATTAACAAAAATATCTCATTTTGCACGTCATGATATTTCTTTTTTGTTTTTCATGACACGCAAAACGGGACATTTATTTTCGTCATTTTTTTTTACAATATCGAGTTTGATTTAGATCTTAAAGAATCAAAATGACCCCTAAAACATTAACCGAACAATTACTATCACAAAAAAGTAACGACACGTAAACCGAGACATTTTTGGCACGCACATGAGACATTTGCGCTATTTTTTTTGCTAATTTCGAGGTTTAGATCCTTAAAGACTAACATGACTTCCAAAACTTTAACCGAACAATTTTCGACACGCAAATCGAGACATTAGATATTTAAAAGGGGTATTATAGTCTTTTCCTTAATTATTTTAACTTAATGAAATACTTTTTAACAGTGTTAGTCACGGTTGGGAAAAAGACTAAACCTTGGGTGTACCGATGGGAAGGCAAAAATTTTAGAGTGTATCAATGGGAAAAGTCAAAACCACGAGTGTACCAATGGGAATTTCCCTTATTTTTATAAATAGTGTGTTGACAATTATACCCTTTAAAATGTGTATATGAATATATATCTTCATTAATATGTACAATTTTTTTTAATTATATCATTCAAAATGTTTATACACGTAGTATATATGTCTTCATCATGTACTATTTTTTCATGAATAATGTTTAGACAATTATATCCTTTAAAAAGTTTATTTACTTATTTGCTCTTATTAACATTATTAGTTTACCTTTTTTTAATTCTAAAGAATAGTGTGTGTACATTTATACCCTTATGAGTATTTAATTTAATGTAATCTATCATTTATACTGTCAACAACAAGATTTGTGATTTAAGACCAAATTGATAGAGCTTTTCAAATATAGCGTGCGTGTATGCTTGTAAAAAAGATGCAAATCATTGTAATTGGCTAGATGAAAAAAATTACAAGGTCGAATTAATGAGAATCAAGAATAAATATATATACACTCTTTCATTTGATGGTTTTGCGACTTTTGTTGAAGACATATTATTTGGTGATGATTTGATGGCTTTCCTTTATTTTCACTCAATTTCATTTTGTCTGTCTAAAACCAATTAAAAAATAGCAAAGATGCAAATCACCAAAAGTAACCAATTTAAAAGAATTTTCTATCTTTTTTAAGCTTTGATTTGTAATTGGTTTCGTCACATTAATTTTTTATTTAGGTTGTGTTTTTGCTTGATTAAGACAATATACATATAATTATGGTGTTAAAAGAATCAAGACAGCTATTTCCCAACTAATGGGCTTAATAGACTTAATAATTGATACATTCAGCCCTACAATTTTTTAGCGGTGGGCCGTTGTAATTCTCATAAGGTGAGGCAAATTTTACATGTCAACAAGACAACAAGTCCTACGTGAGGTCGTGAGGGCAAATTACAATAAATTACACAGCCCGTCTTGTGGACATACTGTGTGATCGTTTGTAAAATAACAAAGTAACCCTATAATTCTGACTAAATAACTCCTTTAACAATGAATGAGTAACTCATATATAATACTTACAAAATAAATTCTTGAACACGGACTGATTACCCCCTATAACACTAACGAAGTAATTTTGTGTGGCTAACCACACATAAGAATCTGTGAAAATTACAAAGTATTACGAGTAATATTATTACGTCTAAGGGTATGTGCTGTTCAACTTGTTTTTTTGGTAATTATTCAAACATACTTCCTATGTGTTTTATTCAGAAAATGATCAGATCAAATCATTTTATTTGCGTTTACTAATTGCTAATTTGCTAGATATATTTAAATTTGTAACTGATATAAAAAAAATGAAAAGTTCATGTTCTAAAAATATAAATTTATGCTTTTTTTTTTTTTGACAAGCACATTTATGCAAATCTAATGACATGTCATTTGATAATTCCGTATCATAAAGATTAAAATAATGTCAAATTTTAGTAAAATTTTTAGAAAAATGAGATCAAATTAAATAAAAAAAATCCAAACCAAATTAGTTCATTGAAATGAACATACTCTAAACCCATAAGACAAATTTTTACTTGCATAGGCCTTATATAAGATTCTGTCTGTTTATTGTTTAAGCATGTAACTTTATCAACTTTCAATATGATTTGCCAAAAGAATGGAAAAGTGATTGGCAGTGATGATTATAAGAAAGAAGGACAGAAATGTATAATCTTCTACTTTGTAAGGGAAAAGAAATAAAATTATTGCAAGTAATATGAACCATCCGTTTTTTATAATTGTTGCAAGTAACAAGAATCAAAGGGGTAGTATAAGATTATAAGAGGGTATAGACCTTTATTGATAGACAAGGTAGGCCAAAAGAAAGTCTTGGATTATTAGGTTGAGCCAACAAAACATGGCGATTGCTATACCGCAAGGTATGGATGTACAATCATGTACGTGGCTAAGCTATGTCTAGGTGTTGTTATGAACTTGTGATTGTTGTGTTATTGTGTAGGTAGATCTTGCTGTTGTTATGACTTTTATCGAGTTATTACTCCATTTTAGCCATTCCTTTTAGTAGATCTTAAGCTAGATTGGAAGGTCTTGAGATTACAATATAATCATAATAAATATTATTTTGATGTTAATTGCATTTAGGCTTTTCTAAAGCTATTTTGGAACATCTAGGTTTCTCTAAATATAGAAGCCAAGTATAGTTTATAGTTACTTAGTACTCCATATTGTTTTGAGAGAAGAGTATACGAAGTGTTTCACGTTTCACTATCTACATGCGTTTTCAACAACAACTGTTAAAGTACAGTACCTGACCAACAATAACTGTTAAAGTACAGTACATGACCGTTTAATGTTTTGACTAATTAAGTCAATGTTATTTGATTCAGATAAATGGTGGATGATATATACAGACTAAATTTTATTTTCTGAAGAAGAATAATTACATAAAAGGTAATATAATTGGTCTAATTTTGCTTGTTGTTTTAGTCTAAAAACAAGCCTTGTAGACTAAATTATTCAAGACCAAGCAAATTCGTATACTTTCTCCGGATACTTATTTTCCGGACCTTGACCATTCAACGTTTTTAGTTTACAATAACTTTGAACCCTAGTAAGAATCATTCCATTCAACATAAAATTCATTCAGATTCTTGTGAACAAGACACATTATAAGATTCCCTTCATTTGGTTAAAAAAATTGATTAAGACTTGACTCTTTCAATCTTGGGTTGAAATTAATTTCATTTTATTTGAGAAAACAAGAAAAAGCTAGGCAAAAAAAAAAATCTCAATTTGTTACAAGTTTGTCTACCATGGACTAGTTGAGTGATTTGAACATTTGATAAAATGGTCCTTTCATTATTATTCATCTAGAATTTTTGAACATGGGAAGGTGAGATACCATTCAAAAGGAAATGAACGTTCAAAAATTTGAATTCTTATGAAATAACCCTAACTTTAATTACCTTTAATAGAGCATAACATAAAGTTATTAGTTTCCTTATTTGGGGTAGCTAGCCTTTATTGCTTTCTTCCTTCGGTCAATTTTATGACCCAAAAATCAAATACTAAAGGGAACACAATGTAAACAATAAGAATAATACTGTAAGACATTTAAATCTCTTCATAACGGTATATATTGTCCACTTTAATATTTACGACAATGAAACGATTAAAGAAAGTACTTGTATACGTTGTTTTATTTATGTCCAAAACCGGTACATAAAAATTGCGCCGCTATTCATTCCGAAATGGAGGAGTAGAAGGTATAGTCCAACGAAGAACCAAAATTATTTCATTATATTCTAACCTCTAGATTAAGATGATTTCTTAGTTATATGAATTATTTATATACAAATGGAGAACGTGAATCACACCAATAATAATAAATTAAGAATATGCTGGAAAAATATCAATTAGTATAAGTAATTAATATATCTAATACTTGTATTAATCAACTAAAGAGAAGTATAAAGGTTATTATACACTTTTAGCTTCTCTAGTGGCATACTAGCAGAAAAATTGTTGCTGAATGGATGATTTAAAGAGTATAAAGTGTTAAAATAAAAAGCTTGTTCTAGCTTTTTAATACTATAATAATAGTTTGGAGAATTGGGGTTGATTAATAGTGAAAAGGGAATATCTCTTTTGATATCAGTGGAGTATATAGCAGACCTATAAATGTAACTATTGCTAGGGTGGAATTTATTTGAGTTTCATCCAATACCTACTTGTATCTTATTAAAGAGTATAACATGATTTTAGTTGTTAATTTTGGTGTAAGATTCAAGCAACTTCATATACTTTACATGTATATATGAGAATTTCAATACTTATATTCATTTAAAAGAGGCTGAAATTTCGAAGAACTAACTTTGTAACAAAGTTTTACATTCAAACATCACCTTCTATTGATTAAAATGAATGTATGACCTAAATTTCCGGTAGTTGATGCCCAAACTGATAAATTAATAATTTCAATTCAATAAAAATTACTGAATTTAGGTGAACTGAATAGGGGCTTAAGCCATATCCTCTTCACATGAAAAGAAAATATATATATATATATATATATATATATATATATATATATATATATATATATATATATATATATATATATATATATATATATATATGCACTACAAGGAAATAACCTTTTCGTAGCGATTATTTTAACCTTTAGTATCGATTGTAATTGCAACAAAAAGCTTTCCCAACGAATGGTCATTCGATACAATATCCCCCGTTGCCTTAGCCTTTAGTAGTGGTTTTCAATATCGCTGGGGTTGGCCTCAATAATCGATACGAAAAACTACACCAATCGTGGTGATTATTGTAGCGAATACAATCTCTATAAATGTTTAACTCATTTTCTTCAAAAAAAAAATGCATATGATCTTTACAAGATTCGAACATGCAACCTCAAACTCTTATATTAAATGTTTCACCAATAAGCTATGACATATTTTATGTATTTTTTGTCAAATAATATTTATACACTAGGCGAAAATTGCTAATGGCCACCGGTTGAAAACCCCCCATTGCCACCGGTTTTGAACCGGTGGTCATTTGGGGGGTGGCAATAAAGCATCTCATGGCCACTGGTTCAAAACCGGTGGCAATAGTCTTCATGGCCACCGGTTAACCGGTGGCAATAAAAATGGCGCGGTTTTTTTTTGGAGGGGAAGGCTGACTATTGCCACCGGTTTGAACCGGTAAACCGGTGGCAATAATAAGGATCTAATTTTTTTTATTTTTTTTTGCCTGCAATTATTCCTGCAACTGATCCTGCTATAATATTCTGCCATATCATTGCTATAAATTCTGCCATAATATAATTATTATAATAATCATAACAAGAATTAAAAATATATATTTAGACTTTTATAATTAAAAACCAAATGCAATACAACAAATTAAATAAAGTGTGATATACAAATAAATACAAACAATACTAATAACTAGTCAATATTGTAGTCTAAAAGTTAATAAATAACAAAGTATAAATTCAAAATGATGCCACATTTACAAATTGAAGGTGATGAAAGATGTCAACATGTCTCGAACTTCATTAAACTCCTTGCTTGTTAACGGATCTCCCTTTTGCACCTTGCAAAACTTGAAATATAAATAAATTATGTTAGAATAAATTAAATTAATATGTAAAAAATTAAACACTTAGGAAAATTAAAAACAGTCGCATTTTCATCCAAAATAGCCAAAATAAGGCCTATTTGACTTCTACTTGCCCATTTTCTACATTTTTAAACAAATGACCAAGTTCTTTCTCATAACATGTCAATTACACTTATTTATAGGTGGCTAAGCCTTGAAATCACAGAAAAAGGGCATTTTACTAAGTTTAAGGTCGCATTTTAATCCAAAATAGCCTAAAAAGGCCTATTTGACTTCTACTTGCCCAATTTCTACATTTTTAAAAAAATGACCAAGTTCTTTCTCATAACATGTCAATTATACTTAGTTATAGGTGGCTAAGCCTTGAAATCACAGAAAAAGGGCATTTTACTAAGTTTAAGGTTGCATTTTCATCCAAAATAGCCTAAAAAGGCCTATTTGACTTCTACTTGCCCATTTTCTACATTTTTAAACAAATGACCAAGTTCTTTCTCATAACATGTCAATTATACTTAGTTATAGGTGGCTAAGCCTTGAAATCACATAAAAAGGGCATTTTACTAAGTTTAAGGTCGTACCTCATCAAGATGTATGGTGTCGGAACAATGAGTCGCTATGTCAAGTCATGAATCTCATCACGTATAATCCACAATCAACTCCATTATCTTGTTGTGGGCATTAGCATAGGAACAAATCAAATGAATCAAACGTCACATAAAACCCACAATTGTTTTAGCAATGTTTATTAAGATAATCACAATATGATGTGGCATTACCATAGGTGATTTCCATGTAGGACCCCGTGGAGCACGACCATGTATCTTCTTCATAATACTATAGGAAAGTAAATTCAAATTTGATTAGTTTGACTACTAAATGAGTTAGGTTAAGATAATCAACACTAGGTAGCTATATTTACTTTTGTAGTACAGACATCACGAGGTACTTCTTTGTTGATCGAGCTGAATCAAGGTGAAAGATTGTGTTATTAGCAGGACAAATCACCATGAGGAACCAATGAAACCTACATAAATTCACAATACACAAACAAATCAATAATTAGGGTACAACAAATAATTCAAATGTAGAAAGAATTGAATTACACATGGTTAAACGTACTCCTCATAACATGGGGCGAATATGAACTTGTCTCCCGCACGCATTGATTCCCGAATATTATGATTAACATAATACATCACCTCGGGGGAGTTGTGTAAGATTCTAGTCTCGGATGTCTGTTCGGGGCATAACCACCCAACTTTACTAGGGGAGTCAGTGTCACTTAAGTGTTCCCGTAGTGCTCTACGTGCATATGCAATGAAAAATTAATTGACATATATATGAAGGATAAACAACACTAATATGAATAACATAATTAATTTAAGTGGCATGTGCCCGTACCTCATGAATAACACCCTTTTCATCCTTTGTTTTGCCTGAAATATTAAAAAGTGTTCCCACAAGAGCATCACACACATTCTTCTCTATATGCATCACATCTAGACAGTTCCTAACATCATGTTCTTTCTAGTACGGAAGCTTCCACAAAATTGATTCTTTATTTAAAAGAGTTGTTGAGACCGGAGCTTTTTCAGATTTTCCAAACACTGTTCGTATACCCTTAACTTGAGCATAAACCTCAACACCGGTCAATGGCCTAGGCGCAGTCTCCTCTTCCACTGTCCCATCGAAAGCCTTTTTTTGCCTACGGTACGGGTGATCACGCCTAAGGAACCTTCGAGTCCTTATATACACATCTTTGTGAGAATTCTTAAGGTATATGCTTGATATTTCATCAATACATATGGGGCATGCTTTTTTCCCTTTAACCTTGTACCCACACAGGTTGCCATATGCAGGGAAGTCATTCATGGTCCACATAAGGGCTGCACGCAATGTGAACACCTCGTTCTTATGAGCATCAAAACAAGAAACCCCTTCGTCCCACATCTTTCTCAAATCGTCAATTAGTGGCGCAAGGTAAACATCTATGTCATTCCCAGGTTGCCTAGGCCTCGTTATTAGCAATGAAAGCATTATATACTTCCGTTTCATACATAACCAAGGAGGAAAATTGTAGATCACTAAAAGAACCGGCCAAGTGTTGTGTTGGGTACTAAGAGTGCCAAATGGATTCATCCCGTCTGCGCACAACCCAAGTCTTAAATTTTTGACTTCATTACCAAACTCCAGAAACTTCAAATCAATGTTCTTCCATTGCGGGGAGTCAGCCGGATGCTTCAGCATTCTGTTTTTCTTCCTTCCCTCGACATGCCACCTTAAGTTTTTAGCGTCTTTTGGTGTTGAGAATAGACGCTTAAACCTTGGAATAATAGGAAGATACCACAACACCTTAGCAGGAGGTCCCTTCGTACCAGGATTGCAACTCATGTGCTTGTAGCGCGATTGCTTGCATCGTGGACACTCCTCCAATTGTTCATTCTCATTACGATACAAAATACAATCATTAGGACAGGCATGTATCTTCTTATACTCTAAACCAAATGGACACATAAGCTTCTTTGCATAATAGTAAGACGTAGGAATTTCATTCCCATCAGGCAACATCTCACTTAATGCGGTCAATAAAGAAGTAAAACTAACGTCCGTCCACCCATGCTTCGACTTAATGTTAAAAAGTGTTAGTACGGCAGAAAGTTTGGAGTATTTTTTGCACCCAGGGTACAAAGGCTTTTTGGAAGCCTCCGATAGTAATTCAAACACATCACCTTCGACATTATGCAACATCTCATCCACGTCATTATCCTTGACCTCATCCACTGGATGATCCTCAGCTCCATCCTCACCACTATCAATAACATATTCATCATTCTCCCATTCCTCGTCCACATGAATCTCATTGCTTTTATCATGCACATCATTCCCATCAAGATCCTCACTATACTCTCCACTTTCACCATGCCAAACCACACATGGTATTTAAGTCTAAACCCACGACAAAGTACATGATCTTTAATGATTCCAACACTATTGACTACCTTCACATTATTACAATCAACACAAGGACAGTATAGGCCTTCCCTCACCAATTTTGCGCTGTTAAGATAAAGCCGTCTCGCAAAACTCTTGAACCCCATTCCAAAAATCCATTGTATCACGTCTACCATACATCCAACCACGATCCTTTCCCATTTAGTAAAGTGTCTCTAAACATATATAGCAACATATTATCAATAATGTACAATTGCTACATATCTTATGTAAATCAACTTCAAGTACACATCGTCAATATACCATTCATATAGTGAACAAATGCATGTTTCCAAAGTGTCCTTATCACTCCAACCTAACCCATCCTTGAATGTCTACTCTCACTAGTGAATGTATGTCAACTTTCCAATTTTAAGGAAAATCCGGCAGCACTTCCTCCCAGTTCTCCAAGTACAAGATGTAGATAATTACTTACCCACATATGTACCCAGAGAACATGGAGAAGAAATGGACAACCAAGATGTTCCTTAAAATCGAAAAAAAGACATACATTCACCACCTAAGTGAGAGTAAACATTCAAGAACAGTCCTAACCGGGGACTATTCAAGACTTTCTCCTAATGAGAAAGCCTTGAACGGGTATCTAGGCATATGATGATGCAAACATTCAACATATTATTGTAATTATTTATTATTAAACAAGACACAACTTGTAATATCATGAACAAACTTTTATCAAATAGATAAATAGAAAGAAATATATATAGCTCCATAAAGTTTATAGTTCATACCAATATAGCAAGTATAATGGATGTAATGTCTCGAACTTCCCACTTGAATAGCTAATAAACTTGTGCTTCACTACATATGAATCTACAAAAATAAAAAAATACAACAACAAAATAAAAGTTAGTAATTTTGTCAAGAACTATAAAACAACCTAAAATTACACATTAAAACATACTACCAAATTCAACTAATTAATTAACAAGTTTACTAATAATCTCTACTTTATTCAAAATTTCCTAATAAAACCTAACAATCAATTTCACACCACTCCAACATATCAAATTATACTCCATAATCCATATATTTCCTAAAAGCATTAGGAAAATCATTATGTAACGTAATCTAAAACGGATTACTCCTCAATCCAACTCCAAAATAATTCAATAATTCATACTATACTTAACCAAAAATTAAGCAACAACAACAAATTGTTAATAATAATAATACAATGAAAGAAATAAAAAAAATTATTCAAAATATATTTTCCATTATACTGTTAATTCATGAACAATTAATCAATTTCTTGCATTCTAAAGATACACACAATTAAACAATTTCTTGATTTCTAAAGTGCATTCTCTAAAATTTTAACCCTACCAACAACAAAAAAAAACCCAAAAAATTCAGAAAAATTAACCAAAAAATCTCTTTTTCCTCTCATTTACACTGTTTTTATTCTTATGGTTTCACCTCTAATTGCAGTTTCTTTTTTTCAATAATCTGGCGTAATTCTGATTTAGTATAAGCACTTACTTCCAAATTTCAAGTTTATGATCCACTAATATCAAGTAATTGCAGTTTTTTTTTTCAATTAACCTAATTCATGAACAATTCAGAAAAAATTACCCTAACAACAACAAAAATAAAACACAGAAATTCAAAAAAAATTACCGTCTATTAATCAGCAATTTCGAACGGTGGCTGTGGGATGGTGGTGCGGTGGCTGTGGCGTCAGTGGTGGAGTGTGTGGTTGCTGCTTGCTTGCTGCTTGCTGCTGCTTTTTTTTCAATTTCGAACGCTGCTTGCTGCTTCGCTCACTGGTGGAGGAGGTTTGGAGGGAGTGAGGAGGTGGTGGAAGGTGGTGCGGCGTCGCTGGTGGAGTGTGTGGTGGTAGGGTTTGGATGGTGGTGCGGCGTCACTGGTCGTGGCTCGTACTGGAGTTTTGGTGGAAATAAAACAGTGGAGAGAAGAAGAAGCTTGGCCCGCGCGTTTTATATATTCAAATATTGCCACCGGTTCAAAACCGATGGCCTTAAGCATTATTGCCACGGGTTCGGTTTGAACCGGTGGCAATAATAAATGCCTAATTCGCGGCCATTTTTTTAAACCACCGGTTTTAAAAAACCGGTGGCCTTTAAGCGGTGGCATTTTCAATTTTTCTTCTAGTGATATATCTAGTGTTGAAAAGGCTTTTCGTATCGATTTTTAGGATTTAGTGGCGATTGTAAATGATACGATTTCTCAAAATTATATAAATGTGTAAAAATAGTGTGGTTATGTATTATTATGTTTTCCGTATCGATTTTATATGGGGAAAACATGGCGATTGTAAAAACGATACGACATCCTTAATTATTTCACAAACATAATTGTATATTGTAGCGAATGTACAATCACTACGATATAATCGCTACGAAAAGACATTTTTCTTGTAGTGATATATATATATATATATATATATATATATATATATATATATTATATAGTTTTAATCCATATTCTCAAAGAGTAATTTAGTGTAGCAAAAACTTTTTTAACCAAGAAAAACAAGGTAGTAATAAATAGTCTTTTCTATAATTTTCTATATTAGTATGTATATCAGAATATTAGCTATAAGTTGTTCATAAAAAATACTAGGCATAAGTAGAAATTTATATTGTGTTTGAATAGTGATATTGTTCCAATAATTTTATATTACAATGAATACAATCCAATTAATCCATTTTAGAGATGAAAGAAGCCTTTGTCTAATTAATTAATTAATTAGTGTAGTGTGAATAAAATCTTAATTTTATATGTTACATTCAAAATAAATTATCTTATATATGCTCAAACAGTATATCTGAAGTAAAACTTAAATCTGAAGTAAAACTTAGAATATCAACAATTTGTGGCTTAAAATTCTCATTCATCCCCCTTTTCCTAGGTAAGTCATAAACTCTTTATATGTGCTTGGTTCACTGCCTTACTATATAATTTTTTTTGATGCAAACTGCCTTACTATATATAGGTACACATTAGTTGTTCCAAAACAATTGTCGAGTATAACTTATGGAAACTTTTTAAACATGTTATTAGCATGTGTGTTAACGACAATTCTAAACATATATCTAAATGTGTGTATATGTCAAAGACAATCACACAAGACAAATTAATTATATGAGAATAAAAATAAGAAAAAAATTATATATAAAAAAAGTTATTTTTTTTGCAAATTAATCTTAAAATGCACTTTGCAAATTTAATTGATTGAAGGAATGGCTAACATATGCTCAATGCGTAGCACTCTTTGCGGCTCAAGAATAATTTAACGCCCTAGAACAACAAACCACTAAGCTAGCTAGCTATATACTATAGGGTTATTAGTGAGCTTTAAACCTTGAGCTAGCAAGCACAAATGCACAAGGAAGGGTATAAACAATTAGGTATTTAGGTATATATACCTTGATCTTATTCTCTATTAGTTTGTATATTTTCAAATTCATAACACTAGCTAAAACGGAAAAATATGTATTGCTTCATATATTTTTAGGTGTGAATTGAAAATCCTAATTGAGGTCTCTTCTTATCTCATCAATTATTATTAGGTAATTAAAAGTGTAACACTATATTTTCGATGTATTAAAACATCGATCAACAATATGTGGCTTAATTAACATTTTCATCCTCCCCCTTATCCAAACAAGGTAACTCTTGATGCTTGATTATGTACACATTAATTATTAGTTGTTTTAAACTGCTTGTCGCATATGCTTGTGGAAACTTTTTAAAAGCATTAACAAGAATGTGTGTTAACGACGAATTGTTCTAAACATCTAGGTGTATGTGCCAAAGACATCATGTATGAGACAAATTAATAACATGCACGAGAATAAAAAGCGATTTGTCACAATGCATTTTGCAAATTCAATTGGTAGAAGGAATGGTTATTATTCAATTGATAGAATAATATAACACTAGAACAACAAAACCACTAGCTATATATACACATACATACAATATCTAGGGTTAGTGAACTTAAAACCTTGAGCTAGCAAGCACAAGGGTAAACAAATTTGGGAAGCAACGAACAACAAATTAAAGAAAAAGGATCAAATCGAACGAGGATCATTCAAAAAGTAGAGTCTTCAAATTATTTGAATGGCTCTCCTTCAAAAGCAAAAATAAATACAGCCTGGCTTTCTTTTTATACTAGTAGAGAATATTATTGTAGTACGTTTTGGAAGAGAGTGCGAAAGAAGTAATAAAGAAACAAGTATCTTAGTAAACATCTATCATATTATTTTGTACTTTGGACTAGATTTTTACTACATATAAGATGCAAAATTCTTTAAAAACATGCATGATAGGTTGAATTGAGAGTATTTTTGTGCACGTAAAGTAGGTTTAGTAAGGTAATGTACATTTGAAAAAAGAGAAATACAACATGATTTGATCTACCATACCTAAATCTTTGGTGTAAAGGTAGTCAAGTCTTATGCATGCTTCTTATCATTATGATTCATGATATAGTTGTGGACTTGTGGTTATAGATACATTTTTGCAACTTTTGAATATTGATCATCTTGACGTCTTGGTTCATCAGCGAGTTAATATAATGATTATTTGTAGAATTGTAAGGATAATACTTAGTTGGTGGTCATTTTATATACAAGCAACCAAATAATTACGCAAAGGCTCCTAAAAAAATATGGAGTAATAAAGATAGGTCGATTTAATTAAATGGGTTGGTCAAGCTAGACCTAATTTGCCAATAAAACAATTTTAGCTAGTAAGCATCCACCCAGAAATTTGGCTGGAAGGGGTCACCTAGAAACATTAATTTTTACAACCGTTATAAATTGGTGCACCACAACCGTACCATATCTAAAAAATCCCTTCTCTTGCAAACTATATATATCCTCTATGTCTAAGGGTCGGGGTTGTGAGAGAGTTGTACAACGAAATTATATATATGTATTATTTTTTTTGAAAAATCGATTAGTGCATATTATATTAAAATAAGAGAATCCACAAGTACATACAACGAAATTTCACTAGGAGCATGATTCTCCCAGCATTGTTCATGACCAAGCGACACTAACCTAGCTATATGACTCAATCTTTTTACTAGGAATTTACTTAGTCCATATTAAGGCTGTGTCCATACAATTACATTCATGGATCGGAAAATCATATCAATAAAATGACATTGGATTTATAAGGGGGATAAAACAACATTAAGTTGGATTTTATTTTTTTAATTGAAACATTACATGAATTGTAAAATGTAGTAGGGAATGAGATGCTAAATCTACTCGTCTTGTATGATTCAGCTAAACACATTGAAGATACAAATGGATATAGCCTCATCAAGTCATCATGCAACTTAATTAGTTTAATATTGTTAATAGATTATACGAAATCTTAATTCACCTAAAGTCATTAACTTTCCATGATTACAATCTTAAGCTATCACTTAATTAATTATATTACAATTTCGGCTCCTTTATCCCTAAGATATGCTTAGCTTTTGATTCTTAATCTTAATTACCTTCACATCATTGAACGTGACAAATTCAATAAATCGACATATTAATTCCATCAACTTGTCTAATATAAGTAAAGTGAGTAACAAACAGGAATTATTTGTAAAGTTAAATAGTGAAAGAAACATTGGAAAACATAATAATAAAGGGTTGTTGCATTGTTTTAACTAAGATTTGAGGTTCAACATTTAAAGTGAGGTTGTCAATTACGAATATTAGTATGTACTTTAAGTACAATCACATATATAATGTATGTTCATTTGTTCCTAATGAAAAACATCTCTTTAACATTTGTCTTAAGATTCTATAACCTAAAAAGCTACTTTTCCGCGTTTGTAGCATGAGAATGAAGCTTTAATTTCACTAATACACCATGTAATAATTAAATTTACATCTAATTAATTACGTTCTAAAGCTAACCATGCATCTTAAATAAAGCGACACTACTTTATTAATTACTCCACTCCATAGTCTTTTTTAAATAAAATAACGGCTTGGATATTTTTCAACAGCTAACAGTTAATTTGTATATGAGCTTTGGACAATAAAGGTGATTGATGAGTTTCAATCGCGAAGTAGCCAATGGAGTTGAGTGCCTACGAAAGATCGAGGAAATGTATGTGTTAGCTCCACAACCTCGTGGACAACTCGATCAAGCTAGCTATATATCACCACGTACGTACTATTTGATAGGAAAAATTAAATCTCATAAATTTTAACAAATGACATTAACTAGAAATTAAATCATACTTACATGACATGAATGTTATTATTACTAATATATTTCAGTATAATTAACATCTACATTAAGACAATACTCGATCAACAAGATAATAAAAAAAGAATACTTCTATTTTCAAGAAGACTAGATTATCTAATATATAGTACAAGGAATTGTACCGTACCATTAAATACGGTCGTTTAATTAAGTTTAAGTTTTATAAGTGGTCATCGTAAAACAGTACTATATTTAGCAATGTTTTGCAACTTCCAAATATATTACAAACTTAATCATTATTAGTTATTAGTAGGAATCGCCATGGATTGAGTTTCAAACCTACGTGCTTCATGAAATTTAGCAATGAAGGCCGATGCTTTACGGTCAATCCCGGGCTCGGCCACCCAATAACCTCTATCTTCGTCGCTAGGGAACACCTTTCGCCGTGGTGTAGGTTCATCCCACATGTTTCTTGTGTTACTCTTCCTAGAGTGCTTGCTACTACCGCCGCCCATTTTAATTAATTAATCACCTTCTAATTTGTTATGTATAATATGATTATTGAAGAAATAATTAATGAAAGTTTTTTATTTGAAATGTTGAAGAATGAAGTTTTTTGGTTTAGAATTCGCATGGGTTGCTACATGTATTTATACTAGGGAGAATGTTAAGAAAGAAAGGTATAGTAGAGAATCTAGAGATGTGGACCGTTGGATCAATCATTGTTTGACGGTGGAGATTGATTGTGCTTAATTTGTTTAGTAAACATAATTAGGTGGGCAATAATAATAAATTAATAAATTAACCAATACGGAGTACTTTGTTATGCTTCTACAGTTGTTATTGGAGTATTCTCGAACAATTTATTGAGTGGGTTGTTTCAATTAGGAAAGTGGTGAAGAATTTTTTCTATTTTTCATATTTTTTAGTTACTATTTTTAGTATATAGTACTCAAAAATTATTAAGGACTTTTTAAGTTTTGTGAATTTTGTTGTTATTGTAAATAGATATCTAAGCTTAAAAGAAATGTTATTTTTTGAAAGGAAAATTAAATTTAATTTGATTCTCAATTTAGAATTGTCATTAAGTCTTTTATAGATAATTTAATCGGAGATAATAACCTTTACTAATTTTCCTTTAACTTAAAATTTATGATTAACAAGAAGAATAATATTCGATCTTATCATTAAAAAAGGTTACCATATAAGTAGAAGAATGTAACAAAAAGTTTTACATACAACCGGTGTGCAATAAAATACTGAACAACCGGTTTTTTCGCACGTGTGAACAATAATTTTTTTTTTCTTTTTCCAAAATAACTAACATCTTCTTCAGCAAACAACAATGGAGGAGAGAGAAAACTCCAATTTTCCAGATTCAAAGCTCCTTCACCAAGCAACCATGGAGAAGAGAGAAATCTACAATTTTCGATCAACAATGCCGGAAACCTCCAAAGCTTCCAATTACGAAAACCTAATGCGCGAATTTCTGCAATTACAAAGAGAAAATCGACCACCATTAACGCAACATCCAGAGAAAACATGGAGTTTCGACCTCAATCAAACATTCAGAGAAGGTGAAGCAAAGAATTTCGTTGATGATTTCGATGAATTTAATGATGATAACATTCAAAACTCAAAAGTTCCAGAAATTCAAATACAAGGTAATAATCTAAAAAAATACTAACCTATTGTTTGTTTTTGCTTAAAATTTTGATTTAATTTTCAATAATTAATGCAGATATTGAAAATCAAGGTGTTTCAAATACATTAGAAGATGAAGATCAAGTTATTCCGAACACACTAGATGAAGAAGGACAACCAGTAGATGAAGACGAAGGTAAAATTCTATAAATGTGACATGTATTAAGGCAAAAGTTACATATATTATGGCAAAAGTTACATTGACTATATGTTTATTTATAAAAGCATTTATGCATGTCTCTTGGTACAAAAGTTACTAATATCATTACAAATGTTACCTTTATTAATACAGAAGTTACTTGTATTACATACCTCTGTACTAAATAACTTATTCTTTATGCATATGCTTAAGTGAATAACCCTATGCTCCCATGTTCTCATGCCTCTAGGTACTTGCTTGTGATTTTGTGCATGCTGTAATTGTGATTTTGGTTACAATTGTTACAAGAAAATGCTAAATATCTCTTATTCTACTAATGAACAGATACAAATCCAAAACCAATAGATACCACTGGTTTAGATATGGAAGGATAATTAGTTAGAGTGGAAAGAGACACTTATCAAGAAATTTATGACTTGTACAGTCTACATGCTTCTACAGTGGGATTTTCAATAAGAAAGCATACAACAAGGTATCGCTTACACACACGTATAGTCACAGAGAAGTACTATGTGTGTTCTGCGGAAGGAAAAAGACATAATGCTGCAAAGAAGACAAATATGGTTCTAATGGTTGATGAAGATAACAAGGATTTAAAACAAAGAAAACCACGACAAGTCTCCATTACAAGAACTAACTGCAAGGCAAGCCTAAGAACAAAAATGAATGATGATGGAAAATTTAAGGTGGTGTCACATGTGTTACAGCATAATCATGAACTAACTAGAAAGCAGTGGCATTATTTGCATCGATCTGAGAGAGAAGTAACAATAGAAAAGGCAGAAGCAATTAAAACAATGAAATCTGTTGGACTTTCAACAATGGACACATATAATTACATGTGTACAGAAGCTAATGGAGAAGAAAACTTGGGGCATAGTGTTGTAGATCACCTCAATTTCTGCTCAAGACTAAGAATGGAACAAATAGAGGCTGGAGATGCTCAGACATTAGTGAATATTCTGATCGAAGAACAAAAAGAAGATCCTAACTTCTATTTTAGAGTGAAATTCGACAAAGAAGGTAGAATTTCCAACATTTTTTGGAGAGATGCAATGATGTTAGAGGATTACAAAATATACGGAGATGTTCTTGTATTTGATACAACATACAGAACAAATCGGTATAACCTTATATGTGCTCCTTTTGTTGGAATAGATAACCATTGGAAAAATTGTATGTTTGCATGTGCTTTCATAGGCAATGAAAAAATAGAGTCGTTTGTGTGGTTGCTTGAAACCTTTAAAAATCTATGGAGAATAGAATTCCAACCTCCATATTCACTGACCAAGACCAAGCTATGGCTACTGCAATTGAGCAGGTACTTCTTTTTCTATTACAATATCATATTCACTGATTCCACTCTCATTTTAAGTCATTTTTGTGTTCATAACTTTTATGAATATAAGTATCACTTTTGTGAGTATAAATGTTACTTTTGTGAGTAAAAATATCACTGTTGTGAGAATAAGTGTTCAAGTTTAGTGACATCACATTCTGAATGCAGGTATTGCCAGACACAAGGCATAGGCTATGCATATGGCACTTAGAACAAAATGCAATAACACGATTTGGAGCCCTTAAAAGGGATAATGAGTTCAAAAAAATATTCAACAAATGCTTGAAGGGATGTGTGACAGAAAAAGAATTTGAAGAAAGATGGAAAGAAATGATACAAAAATTTGATTTGGTTAATCATGCATGGTACCAAAGGGTGTACAATCTAAAGGAAAAGTGGTGTCCAGCATTTAGTAAAGATTTCTTCTCGGCAGGAATTCTTTGTGATGAATCAACAACACTGACAGAATTCTATAGAATCTTTGTAAGAACCATAAAAAGATGGAGAAGTGATGAGAAGTATAATGAGTTTACCTGTAACAAATCAATAGCCTTTACTTCATTGCCACTATCCGGAATGCTAAAGCATGCTGCTCAGGTAATTCTATATTCCTTTATTACATATATCTAAGAACTGAAAACAAACAATATAAGCAAATATAAAAATGATACATGCAAAGGAACATGACTGGTAGTAAGTTATTTCTCTAATGTACAGGTTTACACATTGTCTCTATTTAGAGACTTTGAAGAGGAATTTGGCTACTCAATGGCGACCACAGTACAAATTCTAGGGAGAACTGAAGAAAACATTATTCTTTATGAAGTATCGCTAGAAGAAAAGCCATGGTCTTCCCAACAGGTAAGTTACATACATGAGAGCCAAACTATATGGTGCACTTGCAAGAATTTCGAAGCTTCTGGTTGGCTATGCTATCACTGCCTCAGAATTTTACATCTACATTCTATTACAAGAATTCCAGAGAAGTACATTAGCAAAAGATGGACAAAGCTTGCAAAAACTGAAGTATGGAATAGAATGGAAAATAAGGATCCAAAACTCCCATATACACCATGGAGACATACAATGATGAGAAAATATTATAACTTAATCTTAAAGAGTCAAGAAAATGAAGAGGCAAGAGCATTCATGGAGGAAAACTTCAAAAACTGTATGAAAATGGTGGAAGACTTACTTGCGGCCGAAGCTTTTACGGAGGAGGTTGCTGCAAGTGATGACAATTCTAATGTGGCAGAGAGCGCTCAGAGTACCAATAATACTGCTTCTTCATCAACAAGTACAACCATACCCACTATATTAGACCCTAAGAGAGCTGTAACAAAGGGAAGAAGCAAGAGAGCAAAAGGAGCACTTGAAAAAGGGAAGAAATCAATGCAAAAAGCATTACCAGATCCAAATTCAGAGTTTGGATCGAAGACACTTACTGTGCGACTTTTTTGAACTTGTAGTGAGTTTGGATGAAACACAATTGAATACTTTTTTGTAGTGATTTTATTTTTGTTTAATGCTACTATTGACTTTCATACAGAATTTTGAATTGTGATATGGAATTGCTCATGAATTATGAACATTTATATAATATTACACTGATACTTAAAAAAGTAATGCATATACTGGCAAAAGTGATGCATATACTGGCAAAAGTGATGAATTTACTAACAAAAGTGACACTAACACTTACAAAAGTGATGCATTTACAGAAAAGTAACACTAATACTCGCAAAAGTAACAATAATGCTCACAAAAGTGATGCATCTTCTCACAAAAGTGTTACTTTTTACTCACAAAAGTATTGCATATTCACAAAAGAAATATGTCACTCACAAAAGTGATATTTATATTCACAAAAGTGACAATAATTATCACAAAAGTGTCCGTTTTTAAAATTAATAACATGGTAATATATATGTTAAACTTCAAGTTTTCATTTAAATCAACTATATCTCTGTATGATGATATATGATACACTTATAAAATTATAATCAGAAATATAAATAAATAAAAATAAGAACAACAGATTACCAATATTTAATCATATATATATATAAAATAAAATTTGTACAAACATTTTGAAAATATTAACACTAGTTTAAGTGTCGATATTTATCACTAGTTTCAACTTCCAAAAGTACTTAACTAATTACAACTTCCAAAAGTACTTAACTAATAACAACATCCAAAATTAGCTAAGATTTAGAAGGAGTGTACTTCCGTGTAGCCTTTGTAGTTCGTTTTGATTTCGGAGCAGTGTCAACAGTAGGAGGAGCAGTTTCAGATTTCTTCTTTTTCTTCTCCGCTGCTGCAGCCTTCCTCCTTCCTTCAATTTCAGCAACATATGCAAGATCGCTCTTCTTCTCATTAAATTTTTCAACTTCTGCTAAGACATCAGATCTTGATTCGTTCATGTCAGACAACACGAGTTTTGCACAAATCTTAGCACGTAAAAATTTCCTCCCAGCAGCCTCACAAAACATTAGAATAAACATAACAAATGAATTAATATGTATAAAACATTAGAATAAACATAACAAATGAATTAATTCGGATCAGTTTCAAGATCACTCACTGTTCTAAGTTCATCTACAGAAAACGATGTATCACCAACAAAATGCTCCATATGACACATCATATACACACCACAGTCATTATTATCAACCTTACTCTTCCGCCACACTAAATCAGCAATTTTAAACTTGTAAAAAGGGACTTTTTCACTCTTTGGATGATTTCTTCGTGCAAGAAAATCACCAAATTCAGAACACTGAAAAAAAAAAACAGAATATTAAAAACAACAAAAAAATAAGATTAATATAGAAACATACTTTAAAATAGACAATAACATACCAGATAAAAAGTCAAATTTTGAAAATATGTAATCATGTCATGACTCCAAATGATATTATCAACATAATGAACCAATTCATTGCCATGATCAATCACAAACATCACATAATGTTCATCAACAAGAATAGGAAAATAAACCTGAAAAAAATAGAACAAAAGTTAGCATAAAGCACATCCATCACACAGTTAATATATATTAAAAATTAAGATATATACCAAGTCTGCACCAATAACATCACAACAAGAATTTTCATATGTAACCCATTCATCCCAAATTTCATGCAAATCCGAGACAGCAGAACTAGCAGAACTATCTTCGTTCCCCTCTGATACTTGCAAAAAAGCAAACTAAAAGGAAAAAATAAATAATTGAAAAGAGTAAGAAAACAAATAACTCAAAACAGAAAGTTGCTTACACTTTTCCTCGCACCAAAAAAGAATCTTTTAGGACCACAAGTATCATAAAAACATGATTCATTTAGATAAATGCAGTAGCAATCAACTACTAACCAACGAACCAAATTAGGATGCACCAAAGACACCATATCCTCTCTTGGAATGAGAAAATGCAATCCATAAGTAACAAGATTCTCACTGCAAGGTCAAACAATATTATTAATATCAAAACAAAAAGAAAAAGAAAAAAAAAAGGTTTCAAAAAATATGACAATTAAAAAAGAACTTACTTGTTATTAAATAAGTGTTCCACCAGACAATAATCAAGAGCTTCTAAATATAATCGAGGTAATTTTTCACTAAAAGCACGAGAATTACTTTTCATAAATGGCGTAACAAACACTACACTCTGACCACCAATTTCACCACAGTCCAAAGAACACAAACTTTTATTTGTTCTTCTGACTGAACCACCTCTGTCACCACCATCTCCACCACCTCCACCATTTCCACCATCTTGTAGGGTAGACTTTGATGAAGTACTTGCATCAACTTTAAGTAACTCATCCACTGACTTCATTTTTATAAACTCATCAATTAAGCCATCAATAAGCTTATGATAATGCGGGTTAGACAAAAGCTGTTGTGTTTGAGACAACTCAATAGAATCAGCATCCAAAGAAACAAAATGTTCAACAAAACGACTATGCACCAACCGTTGCAAAGAACTAAAACAATTGGAATTCACAGATGAAAACAGCTCCATGTTCCTTTTCATATAAAGAAACGCCTCATGCAAATCCTACACATTAAAAAACAATTATATGAGACCAAGAACAAATGTTTTATTAAAGAAAAAAAAAAAAACATACATTAGTTGCAGCACTTTTGATCTCAGAATCAGTTAATACTCCTTCAGGCAAATCGAAAGTCACACATCTTCTATCATCATCAATAGGAACCGCACAACCTTCACCCTTACTTAAGTTGTTAACATTCAAATCAACACACTTAGCAGAAACTGGATAAGTCAATTCATTCAAAACCCCCTGACCAAATCCACCAGCCTTCAACTCCAAGGACACCCTGTTCCTCACTTTTTTATCTGTCCAGTGTTGGATAAGAGGAATAGTGGAGTTCTCTACTACACCTTGGAAATTTAAACGATGAAAATACATAATCTTAAGCAACAACAAACATCCACTAATACTATCTTTAGCCTCAGAATTTTTGTAACTAACAACAGAATTCATCAACTTTCTCAAAACAAATGAACACCAATCAAGATTTTTAATCTGATCAACATCATCCATAGCATTAACTAATAACCTAAAATTAACAGTCCTATTAGCGGTAGGAACAAGCATACTACTAAGAGCATGCATAACAAATAACCTCTTAAATTCATCACCTCCATCCACCAACTCCTTGATCCTAGTTTCTAATCTAGACAAAGGTATCAACTCCTTAACACCAACATCAAAAGAAGCTCTCCATTTATTTTTCAATGCACTATCATCTTAAGATTGACCTTTGTAACTACCCTTCATTTCAGGAACCTCACGACCTTCTACCTTGGCAAACCAAAAACATCACACACATCATGCTTAGTCACAACAAACTCCTTACCATCAGCTACACAAAACATACAAGTATATCCATTAAAACTCTCAACAAGCCAAGGAAGTATACCACCAACCATACTCTCCACACGTAAAGACAACAAACCACCAAATCCAACCTCTTCTACATCTTTTTTTTGAGTCGGAGAAAGCCCACTTATAACCTTAACTAATGAAGAAGGTCTACAACGACATGTAATTTTCCTATCAGGCCTGAAAAAACAAAAAAAAGATGCTTACCACTTATAACATACTTATATACTGAAATTTTAGTTATCATATAAAATTAATCATGAATTATGAACATTTATACAAATTTTTATACTTATTCTCACAAAAGTGACAATCATAATCACAAAAAATGATACTCATGAGAGTCATGACACTCAATTACATGGATATAATATTCAAAAAAGTGATTACTATCAAAATTTTCACAAAATGACACTTGCACTCACAAAAGTGACATTGATAAATACAAAAGTGAAAGATATACTCACAAAAGTAACACTTAATATATTGACACAAAAATCACATAAAAACAGTCCTATTAACCAAAGTTACCTATACTCTTACAAAAGTCACAATTCCATTCACAAAAGTATAGCAAATATACAATATTCTAAAACATAAAATCTTACTCGTCATCCTCTTTTTCTTGCCTCTTCCTTTTATTTCCCTTGGATGTACTTCCTTCACCTTTCAACATCTTTTTTCTTCCTGCATCCATTTTATTTACCGCTTTTTGAGCTCTACTATAACGAAAACCTTTGATAGATCCTACCAATTAATTTTAAAAAAAAAACATCACAATAGAAATTTTGACAAAATTTGACAAGATTGTACCAAGCAACACAAAAAGATAAACATATCCACCATGTTTGCCACACTAAAATCAAATGCAGCATTTAATTTATATATATTAAACTGTAAACGAAAATAGTAGAAAAATACCTAAAATTCATACACAAAATGCTTTCATCAATTTGATTGATTGTACTACTATGAACATGCAATTTTTCATTTAGACATTTTTACAAACACCTAGCAGGCAATTCTCAAAATAAACCTAATCTAAGCAAAAGCAACTGATTAAAACGCACAACTAAACAAACATAGCACAAATTGTACAAAACACAAAAAAAAAAGATTGCGAAAATGAGAACAAACACTAACCTAGAGCAACATTATCATCACCAGAAACCTTCTTCTTCACCATTGCAAAAACTACAAAAATCCAAAACAACGAAACCCTAAAAATCGAAACACTTTAAAATTGAATAAAATGAAATAAAATTGAGAAAACAAACCTGAAATTAGCAACAATCAACTTCAAAGTGAAGAAATAAAAGATTGAAAAGAGAGAAATTCAAGTAGCAACGCCAAAAGCAAGAGAAGAAGAGAACGAGAGGAGAGAGAAAAAAAAACCAGAGAAAGAGAAACAGGAAAGAGAAGAAGAAAGAGAAACTAAGAAATTTTTTGGTTTTTTGTCATTTACACGTGTGAGCCCAAATTGAGCAGCCCAATTTGCACTTGTTTGCTGTGATTTTCAGTAAGTTAGTGAAAACCCGCTTTTATTAAAAATTTGCTGTAATATGGTGTAAAATTTTACACGAGTACTCAATATATATAAGACGGAGATTAAAAAAGTGATAGAATTTTTCTCTAAAAAAAAAAAGTGATAGAATTGTGTACAAAGTAATTGCTATGGAGTAATTTTTGCTTATTTTGTGTTGAATGTTCTCTTAGATGATTATCGAGGATAACTTTATCCGGTACACCTAACACATTATATTCTTTATCCTAGCTAGCCAAATTTAAACTACCAGTTAAAGGAAAAGCCTATATTATACTATTAATATATACTCCGTATTAATCTTCTTATTATACGTCCTAATTGATGATTAGCTACGAATCTAATTAAAAATATGTTCCTTGACGTGGTGAGATTTAATTAGGGATTTATTTGGTGAATTAGAAATCTTTGTCCCCTTAAGCTAGCTAGCTAGCTAAACAGCTGAGTTATACTTTGTATAAATTTATTAATTTGAGGGAGTATAATTGATATAATTAATAAGTATTGGTCAAGTACCTAATTTTTCTGACTCCTTTTTTGTAGGAGGTAAACAATGCACCTTTTTTTTTGTTTTTGTTTTTGTTTTTTTTTTTTTTCATTTTTCATTGAAAAAAAAATGACACATTTATTTAATAAATGTCATTTTCATTGAACTCTGCTTATTAATTAAAAGAAGAAATTGTCAATAAGACATTTTTGTTGGCACATAGTGCTTAAGATTTTCATCCTACATTCAAATATAAGTGACAACATGAGTATACAAGGGCAGACGTGGTAAAATGAAAAGGGAGTAATGTCACTAACAAATGCCAAGTTTATATTATAGAAAACACTATATATACAAATGAGTTCGGTTTCAAAAAAAATAAAAATACAAAAAAATACAAATGGGTTCATATAGTCATATTATAAATGGTTAGTTAATTATCTTGGGTAATTTGGAATCAATTAGGGTTGGACAGATTAGTAGTGAGTCATGTTTAGGGTGAAAAATCGTTCCTTGCGTTAGTTTCAAGTTCAGGCTAGTTTATTAAGATGAACTAACCAAATTAAATACTAGTACACACATTAAAAGTAGGTCAATTCAAATAAGATCGATCGAATAGATCATGTTATTTAAGGTACGTGTTTATGCTAATTTTCGTTAAGTGGGATTGAATATCAAAATCTAGGCTACGGATCAACTAAGCAAAATATAACGTGAAATAAAGTAGAAAAATAAATGACACACGGAGTTGGTGACGCGGAAAACCCAAGGAAGGTAAAAACCGCGGGGTAGAATGAGGATCTACCAAACTTTCACTATGAAAAAAATGATATTGAATTACAAGTTTCTGAGGTAAGATGTAAGCTTGGGATAGATGCCATGTTTGCTGTTGCTGCAACCCTTATATAGTCGATTTGCTAGGTTATGCCCTAGCCGTTGCAAGGAGATAAGTTCATGCCCTTGATTCTCGGATTTAGTTGCTGAAAATATTCTTCTTCTGTTTTGAATTCTATCGGACTGATTTGGCTGAGTTTAGACTAAGTCCTTGCTTTATCTTTTTCCCGAAAAATAGGAAGTTATTATTTGACTTCGTCTTCCGTCGGTGCTAGTAGTGCGTCGTCGAGCTCACGACTTCGTCGAGGAAAGTCTTCGTCCTTGACCTTCATTGACTACCGTTGACTAAATCTTACACATTTTTATCCATAACAATTTGCCCCTAATTGCTAAAAACGTGGGCGACTATACACTTTTTGGCAATTACTAAGAAATAAAAGTGCAGAAAATGCAAGATGGAAAAAACAAAGAAATAAAAGATGACCAAAATTCGAATTATCTGAAGGGCGACTTCGTCTTTTGACTTGCACGTTCTTCAGAGCAGTTACTTAACTTCTTCCACTTCCTCACTCTAACCGTCATTTCATCCTTTATTAACTCTGCAACACGCTTCGCGCTTCCCCAAACTTCTACTCTCTTCCACTCTTTTCTCTTCAATTCCTCTTTTCTTTGCAAGTTTTCGCCAGTGGTTTGGTGGCGGCGTGCGGCGGCGATTTCAAACACTCAGCAACTTCAGTTTCCAGGTAATCTACTCTATTTCCCTTTACATTAATCAATTGTTAGGTGCAATGTCGAGCGAAATTCCCAAAACTAGAACTAGGTTTTCTCTTCGCGTTGTTGAAAAACAAGGAACAATTGTTTCACAGCAGAATTCAGAGTCTCAACCTAAGTCGTTGATGGCTCCAAACATGACGAGCGATTTCGCCAAGATGGCGGGTTTCCCCGACACTACCTTTGCTTATATTCCGGGGCCCGGCCAGACGGTGGCGGATTGTCCTGAGGATTTCGTTGTTTTCCTTAGATACCCTTTTGCTGAAACAACGATTAAATTCCCTTTCCCACCTCTGGTTCGTTCTTTCTTTGAGGTTATAGGCATTAGTCCGGGGCAATTAATGCCGTCTGGCTGGAGGATTTTGTCGGTGATAGTGGAGTTGACCAAAGATTGGGAGGATCCTTTCACTTTGGAAGATTTGGCGGCAGGGTATGAGATAAAAATGGCGGAAAGCGGTTTTGTCAGTTTGTGCAAAAAAGGAGATCAGTTAGTTTTGAATACTGATGTGAATGACAGGGGTTGGAAGAAGTGGTTCCTGTTTGTAAATAGGGTGTCATTGGGTAACGATGGTTTGTGGTTGACGGAGGGATGGCCGGCGAAGGGTAAGTTCATCTATGGCATTCGTATTTCTATGGTTCGATTTTAGCTAAAATGGTTTGATTCTTTTTTCCATGACGCAGAGTTGGATTTGGACTTTCTCGAGTCGTTGGAAACCTCTTCGTCGAAGGTAAAAAACTTCCTCGCCATCAACCCTTCAGCAAGAACGTTTGCGCGGAAAAAGAAGGCGACGAGTGACCAAGCAAGGCAAGAGCAAAGTACTCCGTTGAGTACACCAAACAAGGCGGAAGATTCCGAGGAGACAATGTCAACTCGTAAGTAATTGCTTGATTTTATTGCATTACACTTATGTCATTGCTTTGCGATTAATGGTCTTTAATGCTTTGCTAGAATCGGTTGCTCAAGGCGTTCGTCGAAGTCGAAGCTTGACTCAACAAGAGGCTGATTTGCGAATGAGGAGAAAGCGAGGGTTGGCACCTCAAGAGCCGCAACCGGCGCCAGTGGCCGAGAAAGCGGAGCCTGTCCTGGCTTTGTCGCCTGAGAGAACGGTCGACGAGTCGGGGACCATTACGCTGTCGGCGACCCCTCCACGCAAGCAGCAGAAAACTAGCGACGAGCCCTCGGCTCCTGACATCTTGATGCGCTTTCCAGCCAATTTCTTGGATCGTCGCAAGGATGATCAACGTTCCTTGTTTCCTGCCCTGAATCAACTGTTGTTTCCCAGATATAGGGAGATGTTAGCCGGTTCGTCCGTTCTGGACATAGCCTCTGAAGCGGCTTCTGTTCATTTATATGTAAGCTTTCATTTTGGCTTTGTTTTTACCTGTTGATTTGGTTGTCTTCAAAGTTGGTAATTGGGTATGTGTTTGGTCAGTGTCTGCAAAATTCTTTGGTGTTGAGGGATAGGGTGATTGGGCTAGCCAAGGAGATGCAAAGGCTGGATGGTGCTGCTAAGAACAGTGAGGCTCAACGCAAAACTGCTGTCAACGTGTTCCAGATGACCAAGAAGGAACTGGACGAGACAAAGAAGAGGGCAGAGGACCTGGAGAAGCAACTGCAAGATCAGTCGAAGGCGACGGAGGAGGAGGTTCAGAAACTCAAGGATCAGCTGCAAGAATAGGCCAAGCACTTGGAGGATAAGGTGGGGATCATTGCCGCCAAGGACGAGGCTTTGTCGAAGGTCCAAGACGAGCTGACGTCAACTCAGAAGGAGTTGGACGATGCGTTGGACGACTATGCTGAATTGGATATCAAGGTGAGGGCCAGGCTGATGAAACAGTTTTTAGATGGAAAGGCTTCAGAGTGGCGTCCTCAAGAGGTGATCGACCGTTTCCTTGCAAATGGCGGGATGCTTGACGAGCTAGAAGAGGATGCCGCGGTGGCGTCGACTGCGGATTCAGGTCCTGGTCTGTCTGTTACTATTGCATCGTCGGTCGCTGTACCTGATGCTCAGCCCGTCGAGGATCAACCTGTGATTGCCGACGACCAGCCGCCCATTGTCGAAGATTAGCTTGTTACTGTTGTTGATCAACTCGTCGACGGTGCTGAGGAGCTACGGGTTGAAGTCGTCGACGACAATGCTCGGGTCAATTAGGTCATCAAGGAGGTCGTCGATGGGCTTGCTGCTGATGAGGCCGATGTTTGAAGGCCGTCGTTTGTGACGGTTTCACTTTTGCTGTGTGCTTTTAACCAATGTTTTTCTTTTGCTTGCAGAAATTTTGTTTTAATTTGTCTTGTATTTTTTTGTTCCACTTGGGGGCAAGTGGTTGACGATTTGCTTTTGTGTAATATGCTAAGTACTCTTTTACTTTTAATGTGGACGTGAGGCGAAAAAGTGTTTAAAAAAAATGGGATGAATCGATAGGTAGTAAAATTTGTTTAAAAATGGGAAACCAACAAGTAAAAATGAAACAAAAACTTTTTATTAACTCTTTAAGATAACATACTTTACTAACAATATAGTTTTGTAGCTACTCAATATGCCTTGTCGAAGACTTTGTGATTTTAGGCCTATCGTCGCTTTGTTTGCCAATGCCCCTTGCGTCCCAGCGTCGACGCTGAACCCTGATGATTAGTTCTTGGTTCAGGTATCGGGTGTTTGGCGTCAGACGCTAAGGTCGAATGTTGCCCTGGGCATCGTTGCGTTTTCAGCTGTCGGTTGTAAAAATACTTTGCTTGTTTTGTTAGGGTTGCTGTCGTTCGTCGTCGTTTTTTCTCTTTTCTTAGCGGAACGTTTTCGTCTGTCACTTCTACTGTAAAACAAATGTGGTTAAAGTGCCGTTGGCCGTTGGCCCTCCGATGCTTAAGTCAGTACGCTTAATCGTAATAAAAACTTTAACAGAATAAAACAAATGGAGTATTTTAGTTTAGACATTACCATTTTGTCGACGAACACTTTTTACCGTCTGCTTTAAAAGTAGTATTTTCTGAGATGGGTTGCGTTCCA